ACATACAACCATGTTGCTTTTCCTCTTTTGTGGTCTCCAGTCGTGGGGTTAATGATTTAACGAGTTGGGACCTTCTGAGAAACAGACACATATTCCAAATGGAACTGGAATTCGGTCCACTGGTGTGCAGTTATTTCCCTTAATTGTTTCCTGAACTTTGCCCTTGAGGTTTTCCCTGACCCGGCATATCCTGACAGGGCTCAATGACAGACGTGGATTAGAGAAGACGGAAGAGGCTGGATGTGTGTGTGCGTGTGTGTGTGTGTGTGTCTGTGTGTGTGTCGTTGTTCTGGCCCAATCCAGGTGGCAACAAAGCCAAATGTACCTCATTTATTTCTGACACACAGTCCTCCATCACCTCCACACTTAAAGCCTGGACGTATTCAGACTACTCCTCAACCATTCCAGTGAAATTGTTCCCAACAGGCTAAATGTGACGTTGTAATGGGCCCAGAAACTGCCATTAATGCCTTGTGTTTCCTTGATTGATAATAGTTTGGAATCTGAGCTGAAGACTTGAGACATGAACTTCACTAAAACAAGGACTTGACATGGAATTGGCTGCTGTGAGACTGACTCATGAAGACTTAACTTGATTTAAATCCATCCCAATACAACTGGCAACATGTGGGCTTTGTGCAGCATCTTGCATCATTGATGTTTTGAAGTAAAGATTGGCTGAAAGATTGAGTTAAACTTAAGTCACAAAACTTAGGATTTAAACATGGGCTGCCATCTAGATGTTACAGAGTGTCTTCTGAAATTCAAAATGTTTCTACCTTTTCTGAATGGTCGAATTTGAAGATGAAGTAAAAGCCTGCCGTTGTAGAGAGGGGCGAAATGCAATGACTTGTACAAAATAGGATAATAGCACACTTCTGGAGAGTCTCTTCTTGAATTCATTTGTGGCACGGCATAAGACATTTTGTGAAAAATGAAAAAAGAAACATCCCCTCAATTCCAGTGTCAAAAGGGTGTTGTGGATGACATGAGAAGTAGTTAGCCTAAAGCACAATTTTGTCTTAGAACTTGACTTACTTGAGACTTCACTCTTAAGATTTCTGACTTGAAAACAAAAACATTCAAGCCCTCAAGAACTTGACTTGCCTTGAGACCCAAAAGACCCACTGTGACCTGGAAACACCTCTGTTTTTGAGAGTTGACTAGGATTTGTTTTGAATTGCTTGAGATTTTTACTTGAACGTAAATGAGACTTGATTTGGAGATGTGCCAAACAAACAAAGCTCTGGTTGGAAAATGTTGGTATATGGAGCCTAAAGCGGAAGAATGTCTTATTCTTCAGAATAATCCCATGAATACCCTCAATGCACCGAAGCCTCTCCTTCTCTGTTGATTATCACAGCTTTGACCTAGAGCCTTAGCCTGATTAGGACTAAACTAATCACACATCCATGACCTGTCCTGTTCACCTGATACAGCTGTTACTGGCCTGTACCTTCTCTGTTTTAGGTCTTAAAAAAAACCTGTATCACTGTGAGGTCATGATGCAGACTCTCTTTATGAGCTGGAAAGGGTAGAAAAGTTCAGTCCTCCCACTGAGGTGCACTGGTCTACACTGTACCGTGTCCCAGACATCACCCCCCAGGGGATGTCATCGTATCAGAGCATGGAGGGAAGGGGAGGATGGATGCTTTCTTTACACCAGGTCTAAATCATCCCTCTCTTCCTCTTTCTCCATCCTTGTTCCCAGCCTCTGCCCAACTATCTGTCCTGGCTTTCTTTTCCACCTGGAAAAATAGGAGGCAGTGAAACGTGATACAAGGCAGCGAGTGGGGGGTCGTCCCGGTCGCTGCGCTGTCACGCTAATGGAGATGGATGTGGGCTCAAAATTGTCTCCCAAACAGCCTCGACGATGGAGAGAGAGAGAGAGGAGATCCATTTCTCTTGAGCTTCCTCCGCAGGCTGCAGAACTCCTTTAATGAGCGAGGGTGGGAGGGAGGGCAGAGCGCTCACGACTTCATTCGAGAGAAGGAGGGGAGAACTGCAGAGAGAATGGGATGGCAGAGAGAAAAGACATGAGGGGAGATAGAGAAGAGAATGGGTCGAGAGAAAATGAGCAGCAGGAGAATGGTGTGGAGGAATGACATGTTGACAAGAGAGGAAGATAGATGATAAGACAGCAGGGAGAGGGGATTGAAGGAGTAAGGGTATTCAAAGAGGTGTAATGCAAAGAGAGAAAGCCCCTAGATGAAGACTGACAGAGATAAATAGACCATGATTGCCTACAAATCACTCCTTTGCTATTATGCTTCCTGTAAGTCCATCCTCAAAATGTCTCCGTCCCTCTCCTGTATCCCCACAGTGGAGATTTCTCTTGTCTTTTTATCACAGTTGTCTCAACATTTTGGCAGCTTTTGGGCTGAAGGGTTATCTGTCTACAACATGGGGCAAGAAAAGTTGAGTGTAATATGATTACCTCTCCGTAGAAGCTCCATCCCATTAGATGGACACACATTTAATTGTATAACTAATTGCACAGACATTCATGTTCCCAAATTACATCATCTATTAGAATCATTTTTTTTTGATCTTTTGCTAGACTTGAACTGTTTTTCCATTAGACTTAAGCTAATTAGCAGGTGTTAGCAGGCTGAACTAAGATGGTGAATGTGAGTTTAACTGCTAGACATACTGTCAGAGGAATTTATCTGTAGAAACTTGGTGTTTGAGAACGCACAACTGTCATTTATCTGTAAAACGCAGAGCATTGTATGGTGGGAAAATGTGCCATGGACACTACTTTTTATGTCTTTGTGGAATTTCTGAGGGCCCTATGTAGTTTATAAATGTGCACAGATCAGTTAAATATTTTGATATATCTTTTAATTATGAATAAATACATTATTACTTTGACTTAGAAAGGTTAACTCTGCATTTCTATGTCATAATTGTGACTCATCCTATTTATTTTAGTCCCAACTTTTCATTATGTTTTTCTTTTCTTGGCAAAAAAACAGGGCTTGCATATCTCTGTGCCTACAGGGAGCAGCTCAACAAAACTGCCAACTCCTAAACTCCTGAGTGAAACATATAAAGCATCACAACGTAGGCAGATTGTGTGTGACATCGCCTTTCATGGTATCTGGTTTTTGAGGTTTAAATTTTTCAAGCGGTTATCTCTCGCTGCCATGCGGAGCCACCAACGCTCAAACAGACCTGAGCAGAGATAAAAGTGAACATAGAAAAATGATGCTTTCATATTGTTTCTTATGTATACACACCTCCGGATTAGGAAAACTACATCAAACAACTTCATCAACATCATAAAATGGCCATCTGCCTTCCGCAGTTACCATACTTTTTTATTTGGTAAAAAACGGCCTTGACAGCAGAGGTTTTCCACAGTGTTTACTCTGCCAGTCCTATCAGCCTCTGTATGCTGCAGTAGTATCTGTCTCTGTGTGACTCACTTGAAAGTCCTTTGATTCTGGAAAAAAAGGATTTGAATAGAAGCCGTACAGATCTTCTGTTTTCTGAACAAAGAAAATGGTATTCTGGATTGTAAACTGGGACAGACACATATATGGACTCTTCTGCACAGATGAAAACGATTCATTTCAACCTTTCAAGGCTTTAATATTTGTGAAGGTGAGTGACTTATCAGAGAAACAATCCCTTCCTTCGGCTTTCAGTTGTATCTTCTTCCTAAAAAAGGTTTAACTTGTCTTGGGGCCAAACAGATGTGGAATAAAAATGTGTTTTTTCATTTCTATTTAGATCCTGTATCTTCCCTCTTCTAACATAATACAGATATTTACTCCTAAAGCTGTGAGCTGTTTGAGTATTATAGTATGGCCAAAAGTATTTGGACACACCTACTGTGCTTCTAATATGAGGTGAAAAGTGTGTGACTGCAACTTGTGACATCGTTAAACACACCATGATATCCATAAGATCATAACCTCTGGCTATACTTTTTAACTTCTTCCCTCTTCCTCCTCCTCTCAGAGGTCAGATAGGTGTTTGTTGAGTTGACTGCAATAAATACTGCAAGACTTGTGTGGCCTGCACAGAGCCCTGACCTCAACCTCATCCAACACCTTTAGGATGAATGAGAATGCTGTCTGTGAGCCAGTCCCTATCACACTAACACTCTTGTGGCTTAATGGGAGCGAATCCCTGCACCCAAATACCAAAAACTTGTGGAAAGAGAGGAGGCTGTTACAGCAGCAGACAGATGCCTGTGATTTAATAATCACATATGGGTGTAATAAGATAAGATAAGATGTTCCTTTATTGATCCCCCGTGGGAGAAATTCAAGATGTAATGCTCAGAGGTAATGCTAAGGTGTCTACATACCTTTGGCCATATAGTCATATAGTATCTCCTCATCATATCATGCATATTTGAATTGTTGTTGAAACTGTGACAACTGTTGTGTTCAGAGTTGTACTGCATTATATGAAAAGGTGTTTCTAATATTTATTGAAGCAAAAATATTAGAAACACTCATTATGCTTACAACATAATGCAGTACAAAACCAGAAGACCACAAAGTACAGGCTCAAGAATTACCTGACATTTGGGTCACACACAAAAAAATGAAAGAAATCTCTACCAAAATCTAATGTTCAGGGCTGTCCACAAAACTTTGGCCTCTCACTGTAGCGCATATTGTGAATATGGAAGAAAAAACCCCAAAAAACAAACAAAGTGTACTGGTGGAAAATAATTATATTATCAAGTACCATACTTAAGTACAATTTTGAGGTACTTTGCTTGAGTAGTCTTTAAATACAAATATCGGATTTATTTCTTATTTTGCAGATTAATAATATAAAATATAATTAACAGATATAATCAATAGATTATGATGTATTATTATAGGTTAAGATAAAACTTTTTATTGGGGTAAATTCACCAGCTACCAACCAGCATATAAAGTACTTAAAATGAGTCCCACCTTGACCAGCTGCAACATTAAAGTGACAAACACATCAGTGCATCGATAAATATAATTCAATAACATATTCTAAAATTGCTAATACTTCCGTACTTTTACTTACATTTTGAATTACTTTTACTTGAGAATGTATACACTGTGGTGATGTTTCAGTGGCGACATAATATGAAGAACTTACTCTTATACAATTGCTCCCCCTTGTGGAGAAATATTATGACAAACTTGTGGTTCCATCAGTCAAAGAAAGTGATGTTTTTACTATTTATTTTTTACTTCTTGACATTTAACTAGTCAGGAAAAAAATCGATATAAATTAATTTACTCCATCTTTTATTATCCTGAATCAACAAGTATTACTATCTACATCAACTTTTTTCTCTGAGTTCCTGTATCGCCTCCCAGCTGTGCTCCAGACTCTTCCTCAGCTCGGCCAGATCCCTCCGGATCTCCTCAAGGAGCTCCAGCTTTGAAAGTTTCCTGTCAATGGACGAGAGCACTGCCTCCTCGACAACAGCATCCAGCTCTGTGGTTGGACACTCAGGTTCGGATGCCCGAAACGACCCCATTGTTTGCTCCCAAACCATCTCAAAGTACGAGTCAATGAAGGCTTCCAGCTCTTCCAGGCTGCTGTGGTCCCACTGGTCGATCAGCGCCTGCAGACCTCCGGACTCACTGAGCCTCCTGAGAGTCTGCTCCCTCAGAGCAGGATGGCAGAGGGAATTCACCCTGATGCTGTTTTCCTCTGCAAGAATCTTGCATTGCGTTTGAGGTAAAGCCAGAAGCTTTGCTGGATGTCTGGATGAGAACAGATGCACTTGGCTTTCACCATTCAGTCTCAGGTGAAGATCATCAGTAGGACACTGGACAGGCAGATTTATAGTCCACCTCAGTCCTTGTTTATCAGAGAGCATGGAGGCTAAACAGGACATGACGCTGTCTCTGTCCAGGATGAGACCAGTCTGTCCTCCTGTTCTTCCTGCCGGCAGTGCCACTATCTGACCTCCATTATCTGGGCCCTCCGAGCAGTTTAGTGGTGTCTGAGCAGTGGAATTGGCTGAGTGAGTCACTGTAAAGGAAATAAAGAGTGAGTTCATGTGAGCCATAAAAATTCCAACCGTCTCCACCAGTCCTAACATATAAATTATTTTCTTATCTCTCTGCTACAGATACTGTTGCCTCACTGTTTACGCCTTAAACCAGCTTTTATTTGATCCCTCCCCATGTTACACCTGATATGACTTATTTTAGATATACTGTACGTGTTGCTTGCGCTTTGGTTTATATACTTCTCTCTTACATGTTTAAATTAGTAACTGATAATAAACAGTATGGTTGCATCATAGATATAGCAGTGCACATCTTTGCAGTGTTAGCAACATTGGTAAATGTTTAATAGGCTGCCTTTTTATAGTTTCATCCTTAATGGTATTAATTTAGAAAATGGCTAATAATAAATAATAATAAAGTTTTTAAACATTTTTGTTCCATTTGTGTTGTGTGACTGCAGGATCTGTGTTTTTTTCCCTTCCCCTGCTTCCCTTGTGTGTTCTCTCTGTCTCTCTCGTCACCCTCCTATCAAGCGCAGTATATCTGCACTGGTTCTTCACCCACTCATCGCCAGATTGTTCAGCCAGCTACCGTGATCGTTTGCTGTCAGGCTCATTCCTTCAGTCAGTCTCCCTCAGTCACAGCTCACCGCCCTCCGCCTTCCCCAACAACATATCAGCTTCCTCCATCTCCATCTCAATAAATAGGCTTTTATTATTTATCGCATGTGTCTCAGTCTGCTTCTGGGTCCTAAATCTGCAAACCATAACAATTTATTGTATTTAACTTTGCTATTATGGAGTCATATTCTTATTTATGTCACACTGTCACATTTATTAATACTGAAATTTCTGATAAAACACCTTCATTTGTTGTTTTACTGTAAAATATCTTGCCTTGATAAATATTTTGGTCGAAACTCTAAACTTTAAAACTTTAAATCCAAATTTTAGGGACCAATGTCACCAATGTTTAATGGATGTTCTATATCATTATCAGATTTCCTTCAAAATATCAGTGGAACAATGAGTTTGTCCTTTGGTGTTTGCCTTGTATCTAAACTTATTTTGATTGAGCTTTGTTTTACTGAAAATAAAATATAAAGGGATAAATGCAGATTCTCTAAAACAGTGGTTCCCAACATGGAGGTGGGGGTCCCCACTAGGGGTCGCCAGAGCTTCAAGGGGGGCTCGAAAGGGCCTTGATTTTAAAGGGGTTCATTTCTGTGACGAAAACTAAATTAAATTGTTATTTTTAGATTATTATTTAGCATATTTTTTTGAAGACATGATCACAAGTTGTAGTCACAGAACCTGTGTTGGAAAAGTACGCATTTAAAGCCCAGTTGTATACGATTGTTAAAAAATACATAATACAGACAGCGAATAGTATAAAAAGTTAGTAAAAATATCAAGAAAACTCATCTCTAATCAATATTAACAGGAAATAATCTGCTCAATATTCATCCAAATAGCTCATTTTAAACAAACTTCCTGCAGTTATTGTGTTCACTACTTGGGTTCATTGCACAGTTTATCAGTTGTTCTGTCACTCAGTCACGGGTTGCCAAACCTTTTTGGCTGTGAATCCACAAAATGAAGTATGTTTCCTGGTAAACCCATTATCAATGGAACTCAACTAAGAACTTATTGTTTGTTCAAGTAATCTTTAGAGGCGCATTGAACTAATGTTGTCCAGTAAATCACATGAAAAAAGCAGTTCAGAACAAACTGTCTGAACCTGAAGAGACAAAACATCATTGCATTAGGTTTACTTACAGTCATGGGACAGCTGAAGTCTGCAGCTCGTAAGCACCTTTAAATCTCTTTTACACAGTGTCACTGCTTTTGAAGAAACCCTTTTCCACATGTGATCACCTCTGTGAAGAACAGTCAGCCTTTCTTCAACCAGCATCACCTCTATCAGTTCGATTAGCTCTTTAACCTGAGCTCCGTTCCCCCGGTGTTTATTGTCCAGGACGTGATATCTGTTCCCACACTTCTCAACCAGGCTCTGCAGCGGTTCACCTTCACTCTCAATGCGCTGCTCGATGCTCGTGTCGCCCAGCCAGTCCCCGTGGCTGAAAAGGACCACAGCTCTGCTCCACATGCGGCCTCCTCCTGCCTCCAGCTGTTTCTCCATGGCCTCCCTGTGGGTGTCTTTGAATGAGGAGCTCACATTGACAACCAGGAGGAGAGCACAGGATGCAACAAGGAGGTCAGAGGTCAGAGAGAAGCATCCTGGCGTGTCCAGCACTGCCACCGTCTTGCCGCTGACGTTGGCTCGTTTGTCAGAGCAGGAGGTTGTTTGTGTTTCCGTGTGGAAGCACTCTCTGCTCAAGATGGTGTTTCCACATGAGCTCTTGCCTGTTTTCCTGCCACCAACCAGCACTATTCTCAGATTTGGAAGAGGGTTGAGCTTCTCTGTTGAAAAGACGTTTTTCAAATCTGTTAGAAACATGGCAAACAAACTCCTTCTGGTTGACTTGTGTCCAAAAATCAGCTAAATTAAATAGTGTTTATCAAATAAGTGAAATAAGATCACCCTGACATTGTTTGTCACTTTAAAATGCATCTAACTCACCCAGCTGAAACCTCGCCATCTGCCTTTGTTTCTCCTTCTTCATCAGTCTCTCTATGGCTCCCTCCTTCTCTCTCCTCATCTTCCCCTCCATCTGTTCCATCACCGTCCTCTCTATTTCATAGTGTTGGACGTTGTTGCAGCCAGCCAACATTTCCTCAATCTTCCCAATTAGTTCTCTGACTTGGAATCCATCCCCTTTAGTTTTATTGTTCAGAACATGATACCTGTTGCCGCACCTCTCAACAAGCCACTGCAGAGGCTCTCCCTCACTCTCGATGCACTGCTCAGTAGTCGTGCCTCCCAGCCAGTCCCCAAAACTAAACAGCACAATGACGCGACTCCAGATGTGTTCACTGATCAGCTGGAGGTGCTCCTGCGCTGCCCTCCTGTATGTGTCAGTGAAGGCTCTGTCCACACGGATCACCAGCAGGAAGACGTGAGGCCCCGGAGGGCAGAGAGAGGAACTGAACGCTATCTCCCTCCGGTCGAAGATGGGACTCTCGTCACAGAAGTAGTTCCTCCACCAGCCCGGCGTGTCCACCACAGTCACCTGTCTCCCAAACACCACACCTTTTCCAACCCGACACTGGGCTGTTCTGCTCAGTTGCTGGCTGCTCTCTCTGCTCAGGATTGTGTTCAGTGTGGAAGTTTTTCCAGAACCCTTTGCTCCCACCAGCACAATCCGGATATTAGGGATGAGCTGCAGCCTCTCTGAAAGAGTGAAAGTGGAAATGTAGAGGATACTTTTTTTTTTTTGTAGCTTAGATGTTATACAGACTTCCATCAACCTTTTTCACAGCAACCATTATGACATGAAATAGTAGGGTAAACACAGGTGTTGCCGATGATACTAATTAAGGCTCCGCTCTAACAGAGTCAACCTTAATTAGTATCACTGGTAACACCTGTGTTTACCCTACTATTTCATGTCAAAATGGCTGCTGTGAAAATGATCTATTCAGGACATTTTCCTCTAGGTTAGAGAAATAGTTCAATATTCTGGAAAATACACATATCCGCTGTTAATTTGCTGTTGTTCGCTGAGTTAAATGAGCAGATCGATACCACTCTCATACATATTTGTCTAACATGAAGGTGGAGCCAGCAGCAAGTTAGCATAGCTTAGCATAAAGACTGATATGTTTTGTGCAAAAATCTTAATTTGTAAAGTAACTTGTATCTAAAGCTGCCAAATAATTGTAATTATAAAAAATAATAATAACGTAAATGTAGTAGACTAGAAGTACCTCACATTTGTATTTAAGGAAATGGAATATAATATGCATAACTATGTTTCTATTAGTGTATAATCGCCTAAATATAAGAATTGTTATGTTTTTGAATCAGCCTTTTATATGTACAGATGCCTTTGGTTGACTTGCATTGAGTCCACCATGCTAAATGTTTCAGTACAGTAGCTTAAAAGGGACAAACTAAATACTGGCCCAAGATAGGGTAATTCGTGTATTTCGTGTTCTGTGTGTATTTCGTGTTTTTCATGTTTTTTTGTGGTCACCAGTTTCCTTTGTGATCTGTAACTTCACAACTAGATGCCATTAAGTCCTACACACTGGAACTTTTAACAGCCAAAATAAGCAAAAGTTTACGATGAACTCACCTCTCATGAGAGATCTGTGTTTCTTCATTCTTATAAACCTCTGCTGAGCCCTCTCCTCCACTCTCCTTTTCTCCTCTGCAGTCGCCTGTAAAATGTTTTCCTGCATTTCAAACACTCTGTTTCCATTTTCTGTGACAAGTTTCTGTATCTTCTCCAGCAGCTCTGTGACTTCAGCATCATCACTCAAGATAACAGTGTGACACCTCTGACTGCATTTCTCAGTGAGCCAGCAGAGGGCCTCTCCCCCCATCTGTACGAGCTTTTTTTCTTCTGTGTGTTTAGACCTGTCAGCAGAGATGAAGACCACCATGCAGTGACTCCACACACTCTCACCCAGCAGGGCCACGTGCTCCTCCACAGCCCTGCGACGCTTCTCTGAGAAGGCTGAGCTGGCCTTGATTGTAATCAGGAATACATGTGGGCCCGGTGAGCACAGAGAGACGCTGCTTACAATCTCCCTCTTCACCAGCTCAGATGTGTCCTGAGCACTGAAGTCGCACCACCAGCCGGGGGTGTCCACCACTGTGAGCCACCGTCCGGCCACCACACCCAGCCTGCGGGAGCAAGAGGTCCTCTCTTTGGTGACAAACTCCTCTTTGCCCAAGATTAAGTTCCCCACAGAACTCTTTCCAGAGTTTCTGCCACCAAGAAGGATAATCTTTAACTGTGCTATACAGCAGCCGTCCCCTGACAAAGACAATGACATACACACACAGAGGGTAAAAGACGGAAATAAGGCTGAGACGGGTTAATATTAAAGCTACATTGACTAAAATCACATTTCTTTCATTCAAATGCATCAGTTCACATTTGAGGAGGACAATATCAAAGAAAAATAACAACAATTGTGATTGTTTCATTTATTTTTGAAAGCCAAATTGACAAAACCTCCCTGGTTTCAGCTTCCTACATATGAATATAGTAATAATAATCTTTGTCTTTTGTTATAGTAAATTAAATATCTTTGAGTTTAAATAAATTTGACAGAAAATTAAGCAGCAACAATTTTGATAATTGATTGGTTAAATTGTTTTTTAAGCAAAAGTGCCCAAAAAGAATTAAGATAAACTGATAATAAAATATTTTAACATTAAAATAAATATTTTTGTCACAATCCTCAGAATCTACCCCCAAAATGACATAAAACTACAAGTTAGCTAATCAATGCAAAAACAATGCAAAAAAATAACGATATGTACAAAGATATGTAGTATGGTATGTAGTATGTACTCTTAGAGATAAGATACTAAGAAGACATTTAAACTGATTATATAATTATTACAAAGTAGGAAGCTGTTTGCATTTCCATAACAACACCTTTCAAATTAAAAATAAATACATGATCCTGGATATAACGTGGTTGTTATGAGACATCAAGAATCAAAACTTACATGCTGACAGCTCGCTGGTTGCCATCTCACATTCTCATCTATAAGCAGCTAGATTTTAAAACATTTATTCACATGTGGAATCCGTGTTTTCCGTGTTCTTTCTGAACAACGAGTGATGGCAGAAGTTTGTGTTTTATGTGTTTATGAGTCTGAAGGTTGTCTTTAATGAGTAATCAGACACATGCAGTGTAGACAGTAAGAACCACACCTCTCAGCAGCGGGTCGAAAGTCCACTCTGGAGAGAAACAGAAGAGTGTGTGAAGCATTTATACTGGACATTGAATTCCGACAGAAATAAGCACAAAACAAGGAAGGAAAATCCAAATACTGGACTTAAAAGGCTGGTTTTGGTGAATAATGACTGAGCTTTTGTGGCACCCAGTAGAGGTGTGAAGTTCAATGGAAATATTGCACTTTTTGTGTATTTTAGTACTATATAGAATCTGAATTATCTTTACTATTAATGACAACTCTGACAGTTGCGACATGTTACACATTTCAGTTAGCATTAGCCCTTCATGTAAGAGGTTGAAACAAGTGTCTTATATGTTATTTTAAATTGAGTGACAACGATTCCTCCGGTCTGATTCCTAAATAATTACATAGTTTTATCATTGAATTGTACATAGTTTTCAGGGACATATGAGGGTCATAGGTCTTTTAAACTATTAGGGGGAGCCCCAGGGCAAATATTTCCTGTTGGGTTCATCATAATCCCCATCCCAGCTCCCAGCTTCCCCCTGTATGTACAATGTATATTTACCTTGTCACCTCTAAATTACAGAGACAACAGGCTGCAACTACTCTGATGCTGTATTAAAACTATCTGGGAACAGGTTTTGTGTGTCTCATTTGCGGTGATTTGATTAAACACAACTTTACTTAGGGATAAGCACCATGCGAGCACAATATAATCAGAAATAATGAGAGTATTAAAACTACATTTTGACACCGTTGTCCTGACGAAGGAAATAATGCAAGGACCTGTCGAAGATTATATTCCTGGAATTATAATTCCATCATAATTTGCAATTAAATCACCAACCATCAATTGACATGAATTGAACCTGGGACCTTTGTGGTCCTTTAGGGTGTGTGGCAAATTTTGGATAATGCAATTTACACTTTAATGCTACTTCGGTCACATGATGACCATGTTTAGATAAGTTCCTGAAATGCCATAAAGTTTATCACAGAACAAATTGAGTTCCCATGGGTTGCATGGGTTTCGCCCACAGGGATCAATCATTGAAGTGTAGATAGCCTCACAACAGAGGTCATTGTTAAGACACACAGAAAGGCAGGCAGTGGTAGGATGTGACTCATCCTTTACTGAAGCATTTTACTATTTTGATTTTACTTTGCTTTAGCGTTTTCAGTTTCAGTTTCTTTATACTCCAATTCATTTCAGGAAGAAATATAGCCACTACATTTATTTAAGAGCTATAATAGTTGATGATCATTTCATAAAATATGATCAACTAACCCAACAGTATAAAAAAAGTATTTTAAACTTGCTTTACCTCAACATTAAAATGTTGCTTTCATGTTACGGATCAATAATAATCCAATAATAATAATAATATAACTCAGGAGAAGCCATTCCTCTGCTGCACAATGAGTACTTTTACTTTTGATACTTTGAGTAGATTTTGCTTTTAATACATTTAGTTTTAATGTTTTATTTTGAATACTGGATTACTTTGTAATGGAGCGTGTTTACTAGGCTACTACTTATTCCACCACTCCTGTGTGGTCCAAATGTTTTCATCCTACTCATTATGCTGAAATGTGTAAAGTTAGAATAAGAGAATAAAACTCATGGTTTGCAGTGATGCCTTTCAAAATAATATATATATGGAGACCCATTATTTCTGCTCTTAGAAACAAACAAACATAAAGTTTAAATGAATTAAAATATATTTTCAGGAATAATTAATCTTGCCAGTATACAAATATAGGCTGTACTTAAAGTATCAAAGTAAAAGTACCCCCCTCGTTACCCACCAAAACGTTACTTGAGTAAGTACTTAGTTACATTCCACCAGTGGCTGTAGGCCCTATTTAAACAATCAGTTTCCCATGTGATAAGGTTTTATTCTTCCTCGCCCTTTACTCTTTGGTTTCGGTCTGTCAGCTGTCTTCACGGAAGTCTCCGAGTTTAAGCTCCGCCCCTTTCCGCTACTAAGCGATAAGCAACGAGCGCTCCGCAGCACACCGAGCTCCGCACCGCCGACAGCTGACAGTCGGACAACAACAACAACAACAACAACAGCAACAACAACAACAGCAGCAACAACAATGGGGGTGACAGTTAAAGTGGAATACTGGTAAATACATCTTTTAGGATCCTGGGTTTCATTGTGTAACCTCTCAGCTAACTGCTTAGCTAAGCTAAGCCTATTGACTTTGCTGCACTGATTGTAAGCTAATGTAACGCCTTTTCTTCCTCCCTCCCTCCCTCCCTCTTCCTCCTCCATGTAGCGGCGGATGAGGTTACGGACCCCGCTATCAGGAGCTCGCCCGCGTTGTTAAGGCTGAGTTTCCCGATGCGGTTTTGTCAGGCTTCGTGGGAAGGCAAGGTAATTCCTATCCGAGCTGAACTGATGAATGTGACTGTGTCTATCCACCAAAGAGGGGTAAAGTTCATGTTCTTTCTCTTCTTTTTTGTCTTCCATAGGCAGCTTTGAGATTGAACTCAACGGGCAGCTGGTCTTTTCCAAGCTTGAGATGGGTGGTTTCCCATATGAGGATGATGTAAGTAACAAACACTCTCAACCAGCTGCTCCATTAAATGTAAATCAGAGCCTCTGATTGGTGCAGTTCTTCCTCCTACTCCAAAGGGTTTCGCCCTGCAGACGTCTGTCATTGAAGTGTAGATAGTCTCATTGTTAAGACGCACAGAAAAGGGAGGCAGTGGTGGGATGTGGCTCATGCATTTCCTGAAGCGCGTTAATTCATTTTCCGTTACTTTGCTTTAGTGTTTTCATTTTCTGTTTCTTTATCCACCACAGCCTCTGATTTGTGCTTTTCTCTTTCCCCTCTGTCGCAGGTCTTGAATGCAGTCCAGCTCGCACACGACGGGAAACCTGTGCAGAAGATCACCAAGAGCCGTGCGCCGTGCGTCATCATGTAAACCTTCCTCCTCCGTTCTGCTTTAACATCAGCAGCAAGACAAGACAGGACAGTGCGACTGTATACTGCCAATGCCACCTCTGGTCCCGCCCGGCCCTGCTGTGCTTCAGCAGCAGGCCGGGGTGAGGACCTTGCTTTATACAAACCCAACAGAGATGCACTATGACCACTAGCTGCTTTGTTTGATGCAACTCTGCCCTCTGGCTCCCCTCTCTTGTTCTCATTGTGGTGCTCCAGGCTGTTAATGATTACTGTAACCTAAAAGGTTAAAGGTTATGGTATGATGAATCCATTCCTGGCTGTGCCCTCCTTATGGGAACTGAGATTGGGAGAAGAGGTTGCAGAAGTGTTGGAAGGGAGCTCAATATTATTTTCCTACGGCCTCATTGCCTGGCATTCTCTAGCTGCCTAATTATTGTTTTACCAAGTATTTGTTTATTGATCTCGCATGCAATTAACAATTTTCTTTCAATGCAAAGGCAGCGCAAAGCAGTCACATTTTTTCAGCATAAAGGGAGACTCTTTGTTTCTGCCTCTGCACCGCTCTTTTAGAAGCTTTTTCAAACACTCTGATTACTGTATGGGTGGTGGATAGCGATGCAATGTCATATAATTTGTGATTGGTGAATGCAAAAATTTAGTTTTTCTTTTTTTATACATATCAAATTGGAATAGTTTTAAACTTTAAAATGATGCAATTGTTTGCAGCAGCTCAGCTCTGCCAAAAGTCCAATATGAATCTGTTGCTCTGCTGTCAGGGTATTTTTATTTTTATTTTGTTTTGTTTAAAAGATAAGCTCTCCTGTAATTAAAACTGGTCAGGTACTAGAGCGATCATCAGAAGTGCTTCTGAGGACCACCACCCACTGGTCCATCAGCTCACACTACTTTGATGTCAGCTCATTTTACACAAATCATCTCACTTTGTTTACTCAGATTTCCAAACTGTAGACTTTGAATAAAGATAATGGTTGTTTAAATGCTTGTGTTTGTCACTTTTTCATGATGTCACTGTCTTTTCTCAGTGTCAGCGTACTGGGAGGACAGTGTGCATGGTTATATATGGATATAAAATGGTTATTATGCAACAATCTTTTGTAAATGCTCTATAATTAGCCTATCTTTATCCAGTGAGGTCTGAGTGTTAAACAACACACGCCTATTATGTACACATTCCTAACTGGGTGCGGTGATGCTGTGCAGCCTTAGAGGCTTGTTCCTGTGAGAGTCATCCCTGGGTGGTTATCAGAACGAGTCTCTTGGAAATGTTGGGCAGCAACTACCAATCATTTTACCGAACGAGTCAAACAGGTTTTCTTATGTTAACAGCCTGCATGGCAACAGTTGCTTGAGCTGATGAATGCTGAACCTGAACAACAGTGCTGTATTTATGCTTGAGTTGCACCTACGCAGAAATTACATCACAATACAAATTAAGATTTATTTCATACTTTAATGCTGTAGTTGTTTTTAAGATTTAAGGTATAAATCTTTACTTTAACACATTAGGAAACAACAAAAATACTTGACTAGATAGAGGTTGCATTTGTGAAAAATCATGATTTCAACGTTTGTCATGAGGATCATTTGTGAAGCAGAGCATGAGACTAATCATTCAGTCATCCAGTAGTTTTGACACATTTGTTCCACTGCGGGGCGCCAAACCCAACAAAGACTGCCATCTTTAGTATTTGGCCTCTGGCATCCCCTAGCAAGAAAATAAGACAGTGTCACACTGAAGTCAGATACACAGATAATTCAAATAAAGACATGAATGTGGAAGTGGAATGAAATGCTACAAACCAAGAGGGTGTTTTCACAATTTGTACTGCTATAAATAGATTTTTATCATGATAAATAAATGTTCAGTGAATATACTGTTCCATGTTTGTGACATGCTACAAATATTATTAACCCTGAAAGTTGTTGTAAGTTATAATAAGTAAATATAGTAAATGAGCTAAAGGTAATGTTGTGTATCATTATTTGATGAGGAGCCCAGAGACCACTGAGCACAAACATTTAGGAATATAGAAAATGAGAGTCATTATACATTTGATTACAAATAAAAATGAGCATTTATAAGTATTCTGGATTGAATGATTGGAATACTGGTTAAACTGTGTTTTCTTAACGTAAAGTCACAATGAGCCACACTGTATTTTCTACTTGTTAATGGACAGTTCAGTGTAATACACTGTGACTAGGTGGGTCTTTGCTGCTGGCTCTGGCCCTTAGTGATAACTCAAGGCAGCCTGCTTGTTGTGATGCTGATAGAGGCCATCTGTGCTGCCTTAGTTAGACCTCCAGTTAGAGGTTTGAAATTGTGCCTATAATAAGTATTCAAGTTGGTTCAGTTACAGGTGCATTTATACTACAATCAGTGGAAAGGACTTTACTACACACAGATGATTTCCAGTGATGATTTAGGGGTGTCCTAATAAAGGGGGTGCATACTTTTGCATGTATTGTGTATCTTTTTTCACATCTATGGTTTTTTTTATGTTTTTTTGTGTTGATGTGAAAAAAGCCACGTTAAATCTACTCTGACTCAATGTTGTATGGCAATAAAACATGAAAAGTGCAATGAATGAGTGAAACAGATCTTACATCCTTTTGCCGTTTTCCTAATTTGTATCACATTTCATCCACATGCCTTACGCTGTTAGCTGCCTTATGCTCTATCCTCTTAAACTGGATAGACCATACCCTACACGTTAAATGGTTTGTTATTTCACACACTATTCAAATGTTGCACTCTGTTAAGCATCTCAATTTGCCTGCTTCACATACCATAAAATTCCCCAAATAATGTAAAGACTAAAAATTACAAAGATGTCTGTGTATGAACATGTCTATATGAAGACTAGGAGTGTCTGTATATTGTATGTTGAGGCACATGGACACAGCAGATAGCTTCCAAAACTGGTGATAACAGACTTGTGCCACAAGTGTTTTTAGCTGGGGCCCAATGTCCCTCACTATGTGGTGCATGTATGTTTTTTTTCTCTGTGTGGTAAGTCTTATCATGGTGGTGCACTCCAGTATGTGGACCCTGAGGTTGACATTGGTACAGACATTGTCCCCCAGACTGTAACTTTTAAAAATGTTTGTCGAATACTTTGCAACCAGATACCTGCATTAGCCTCAGCTGTACTTTGTGTTTAGTGTTAATTAGCAAATGCTAGCATGCTCAAATAAGATGATGACCACAGAAGACGTACTTCTTGAATACCAGCATGTTACCATTGATCACTGCACAATAGACTTCTTCTTGTGAAGTTACCTAGTAAAGCATCTATGTAGCCTAATTCCTGACACATCACTGGGTCATATGGCCTTGTTGAAACTGGAGGCTGAAATCAATTATCAGGGCAGTTGTGTTTGATTTCATAGACAGAATTGAAGCTTTTGTCTGTAAGAATCACAGCCTCTGGAGAAAGGTGTTGTTTACCTCAGTTCTAAAATGATTGGCAAACATAAAGATCCCTTGAGCAGCTTAACAAATCCTCAACTTTTCTGTTTCACTTTGAATTTCCCCTTGAGAGATGAATTAAAAGCAATTTGAATTTCACTGAACTCAGTCATGACTCCAATGAATAATTTGTCCATTCTTGCAGCGCCTCTGCAGAAACTGTCACCATAGACAATGATGTTTTTTATTTAGTTTAGCTTGTTTTTTGTGATAATAATCAGTGTCAACCTCTGATATTTTCCTCTCTCCGCAGTCTGTGTTGCATCCTTGTGTCAGTGTCTGTTATCAGACTGGGTTGGACCCCTAGCATCCACTTCCAGTCAGCTGCAGAAGATTTCTAACCCTGTCGCTACCGCTTCACACATACTAAAGACAAACTAAGTGAGCTTGAAGGCTGCAATGAAAAATCTGGGTTTAATATGTTTATCTCATCACTTTCCTCAAGATAATCAAGTGTAGAGGAACTACCCCCCCATCGCAAGGGAGTCCCCAGTACGTAAACAAGATGACGTACCAAGATGTGTTCCTTCTGATACTATATGTTGCCCCCTTTCCTACCCTCTTTACCCCCTGTGTGCCCCTCAGTTAGGACGACTTTAGGCTTGCTGGTCCAAACAAGACAGGTTCCTCTTACTGCCCCCGGACCAAACTCAGACCTGGTTCAAGCTTGGGAGGGCGGAGCGGGCAAACTAGGGTTGGGATATCCCTGCCGCAAGGTGTCCCTGACCGATAGGGATGCTTCTCTGTTACGCAGGCCTTATCTCCATTACCCCCCCGCCAGGTTGCTCAGCAACCAGGGGGGTTGTGGGGTACATCACTTCTGTGGGACGACGTAGTTTCAAATGGGTGTTCCCGCTCCTGTCGTTCTTTCTCTGTACTCATCTTTTGGTTTGTCCTGGCTCACTTTATCACCAGGCTCGTCTAGGCTGACAGAGGTTGTCCTGTTTCCAGTGCCGGAGACCAGGTGGGAGTACCTGCATGCAGGTAAGGGTGTGGCCTTCTCTGGACAGGGGTCAGACATACTTTGTGGTACTGCTGGACTAGAGTGTAGAGGTCAAACAGGATGGATATCTGAAGGTTCCCTGATAGGAGAGGAGCTTATTCTAACCTGTTATGTCTCTGCCATGTTCGCAAGATAAGGGCGGTAGTTCAGTCTAAATTCTTTTCATGAGCTGAAATAATGTTCTAGGAAAATAATATTAACCTTTTCAAACAAAGATGTTTGTTGTGCATATTTCCTGTCAAATTCAATTCAAAGATTTTATACTCATTTGTGGTCAAGGTCAAGTTGAATTATTATCTTCAGTTAGTGAAAGCCATTGAGGATTTTCATCAGCTGTAGCAGTTTTAGAAATATTTCACCTACTTATTTTGCCTTTTTTAAAAATGTCTTTATATTCTTACCACTAAATGGCAATGTCTTGTTAATATGTGGCACCATAACACGCTCAGATGTACTGGCCATATTTGTAGATTTGTTTCTTTCAGTCATTACTATCAAACATTTCTTATCAGTTTTGTACATGTATGAAATGAAGCTGTAAAACTGGCCCTTCATCCACTAAGAAAAAATATTTAATTGCAATTGTACAAAAAAAAGAGCAAGGTTTGTTCAGTTGTTTGTTAAATCCACAAAAAAATATCACACAATGTTACATTATAAGATTGTGGTGATTTTTCAGTATTTCTGTCTGAATGTATTATTATTTTTGTATTACTTGATATTACAGTAGCGGCATTTAAAGCATTTCACTGTACTGTTACTGAGGAGAACAGAGAAGTCTGGTTGAAGAAGGGTGTAACCCAGAGATAAGGCTATGTACGTCTTCTATTTAAACTACAACGCAGTTCACATTCTCAACGGCTAATTGACTATCTGTCCCGAGCCGTAGATCTGCAGGCAGACTCAGAGCAGCTGTCTGATGGTAGATGGCGGTATCTTCACCAAAGCTGCCTAAAAGCAGGTCTTATTGGTTTCTGTAAAGTAACAAACATGTTCCTTAATAGTTAAAACACCCTGCCAAGTTTGCTACAGAATAATGGTACGTTTGCAATGATTACTATAAGAATATAATATATATTTATAGCAGATTCTGTGCTTTGGATGCTGTAGGTGCACCTGTCAAAGTGAAAACCCTCGACTCAATAATCACCAGCAAAAATAATTAACAAAAGTTTAATGTTTTAATGCTTTGGTAATTTCTAACTATATAATAATAGTGTTATATATGTGTTTTTCATGCTCATCCACTCATTTTCTGTCTTAGGGAATGCATAAAAGTAGCTGAGAATTCAAAGATTCAACACCTGAAAAATATCAATGGAAAACAATCTCAGTTTTGAGGAGGTGGGTCTTTTTTTCTTTAACTTCTCAACAGTGTAACATCTTCCACATTTAGATTCAGTACATTTAGCATTACAACTGCCGCAAGATATATTGTCATAACTCCACAGTAGTGTGCTCAGATGATTCTGAAAAATTTGCTCTGGGTGGAGAATGTGGAGTTTTATATGTTCAATAAATCTCCAGTAAAACCTATTTTCCTTTTATCGTTTCATTTTCATCCAACTTTCTTCAATTAATTCCTTCTCAACTTTCCCTCTCGTCTAGGGCAGTGACATGTCGTATGAAGACAATGACTCAGCTTTCCCCTCTCCAGTGAGACTGTGAGTCCATTCTCTCATTTAGGCCTCTCTGTTTCACCACTGCTGTGCAGGTTAAGTTTGCATGCCTACACCACTCTGTATATGTACTGTAAATATGTGCAGGAATTCTGCATCCTGTGTCTGATAAGATAAAGGTATTGGGTCTTTCTTGCCCTGAATTGAGCATTTCAGGCAGTGCTCCCAAGATGTGTACCACCCCAACAAATCCCTCCAATCAAATGAAACAATATATATATAGGTTTAAGTTATAGGAGTTAAACTGCTCTAAGAATTTGTTTTTACAATGTATCAGATTACTTTAGAGAATTATGACCAAATCTGCTGTCCCTACCAGCTCTATGGAGCATTTTAGCCACTCTTGGCTCCTTGTTTTTAAAGTTTTGATGTATTCTAGCTGGAGCAGGCAGCTATTTTAAGTAAAAATGTTCTGATAATCACCACTGTTTGTTACCGGGCCAGCTGTATAAACAGCTTGTGGTAGATAGCAGATACCTGACCTAAAGGGAGAGCGAATACATTCATCAGGTGACCAGAAATACAAATTCCAGGGCAAGCTAATGTTGCTCCGTGTATAATAAAGTAACTGGATAATGTTATGTCAGCAGCTTGTTTGCACTGCCCTCAAGTTGTCAAAAAAGAAATGAATGCAGGTTTAAGTTTAGGGTTATGCTGAAGTCAAGTCACATTCCTATGCTTAAGCTTATAAAGCATTCAATCCATCTGTTAACTATACAATTGTTAAGTATTATTAAGTATTTACCAAAATTTAAATAAAATCAGGAATACTTACCTTGAAGTATGCACATGGACAAGGTGATTTAGCTTTTCCATTCATTTGCTTTCAGAAAAATTTCTGATTTACAGACTACAGGGTATTTTCAGCTAGTGATAAGTCAGAAATAACTTTCACACAATGTAGCAGCTTTAGGGCCACAGCTGGGGAAGGCTTAGCCAATCCTTGAAGGAAGCTTTTATTTTTTATTAAGCTCATGATACATATGCCTGAGAGTCTTATCTCAAGGCACAAAACCAAACTGTACAAGCAGTCAATGATAAGAAATAGGTTGAGCAATATCGCCCTCCTGTGGCCAAGGAGAGAATAGCACTGATCGCAGACTGAAAAATTTAAGGCATTTGCTAACTACAATTACAGGCTTCAAAGCCAGTTTAACTTACAGACACGATTATGGGAGTGCATTAAAAATAATAATAATAATAATAATAATTTACTCTCCCTGGCTGTGTTGAATCACTTCACAGGCACCAAGACCAACCTCTGACATGATGTGTGCAAGTTCTGGTGAGACATTAGGAGATGAAGCATTTGTTCATCCCTGTTTCTGTTTCTCCACACCACCAGGACTCCACCTCGCCTAAGCGGCATCTATGACCTGGAGCAGGGGAGGCAGGAGGAGGAGGGCGAGAATGAGCCACCTATGAAGGCCGTCGCCATCCCCAGTGTTTCAGAAGGTAGGTCCCCCTCACAGGCCATGCAGCTGTTGGTGATTTGACTTTTTATGTCTGTGCACAAATCACTTTTCTGTCACTTTATTTCAGCTTACCTGAACCTGAACACCAATGCCACCACCAGGGGGGATGCTCAAGTTAGTCGGCATTCATCAGATATAAAAGTTCATTAATAGAAACCAACATTATCTGCTGGTATATTTATTAACCACGCTGCATTGTCACAGGCCTATGTGGAGCTGAATGAGCTCCAGGGCAACACCTGGCAGGAGACTGGCCGCTGGGTGGGCTACGAGGAGAACCTTAATCCTGCTACAGGAATATGGAGTCCTTCTCATGTCTCTTACCTCACCTTTAAGAGCCTGATCCAGCTGCGCAAGACCATGAGCACAGGTGACTTTGGTTTTCTTAAATTAAACAGAAATTGTGTTTGATGAATATGTTCAATTAAAAGCAACTCAAATGCACTCAGGGGCTGTGATCTTCGACATGAACGCCAGCAGTCTGTCTGCTGTGGCCGAGAAGGTGGCCGATGAGCTACTGAACAAGGGTGAGATCCGCGCAAGTGATCGTGAAGGCCTGCTGAGAGCTCTCCTCATGAGACGCAGGTAACACACAGCACCCACCATTGATTTCTATAAAATCATAATGCCATAAAAATGTGTGCAGCATGTACCTTATGCTCATTTTATTTCCCCTTCCAGTCAGACTGAAGGACCTGTGGTGACTCCCTCTGGAGACATTGAGATGCAGACTTTTTCTGTAACCAAGAAGGTATACATTTTGGGTCTTTTTTACACAGTTTGTCCATTTTCATCCTTTGAGTGATAATCAAAATTGTGTATTCACATAACAGAGCTTACATTTTGTTTTTGCAGAGAGACAGCTCTGACAACATGGAGGCCTCAGTTGTCCTCTCAGGTATGTTCACGTCATTCAGATGCAGTTATGTGTCTCCAGGTTTTTGTATTCTGGAGCAGACATGGCTAAAAGAGTGTTTTTTCTATAGGTGCCCTGGACCTCCTGGAGAAACCAGTTGTGGCTTTTGTGAGGTTGACTGACTCTGTGGTGATTGAGTCTGCCCTGGAGAGTCCCGTCCCTATTCGCTTTGTCTTTGTGTTGGTGGGCCCCAGCCAGAGCGAAATAGACTACAGTCAATGTGGCCGCGCCATGGGTGCTCTGATGGCCGACTGGGTGAGAGAGATGCGGCAATGAGACCACACAATCTCACCAACCTACTTTGTTTGGCGCAGGTGAATTGAACTTTTCTGTGTTTCCGCTCCGACAGGTGTTCTGTCTGGAGGCGTTCTTGGCCCAGACCAACACAGATCTGACCAACGCCATCGCTGACTTCATGGACTGCAGCATTGTGATTCCTCCCACTGAAATCCAAGATAAAGGAATGCTTGAGCCAGTTATTAATTTCCAGAAGAAGATGCTGCGTGAAAGAGTCCGTCCCAACGACAGCCGTCTGGCCTTTGGTGACAGGGTCAAAGGTCAGTTTACAGTACAAAGCAGCCAAGACTTACAGCTTAAATGTTATTCGTCAAGGCTTTTGTGTGTTTACGCTATCCCTACTATATAATGCTGACATGTGGTTCTTATCATAGATTTATATGTCTGTTTTAAAGCAAAAGTAATTTTTTTAAGAAATATGTGTATTTACTTTATGTTGGAGTGTTAGATAAGATTTATACCTCTCATACCTGTCCATTAAATATGCAGCCACAGTCATCTGCCCATTAGCTTAGATATTAGATGCTTAGATACCCACTCCATTATGAAGGATTGAAGTTTGAGAAATTATTGGTGAGCAATTATTGTAATTGTTGTGAACCCGATTTACTATAGGTTAACAAACCATCAGCTGGATTGCTGAAGTAAATTATTGCATTTTTTTTAGCATTAAAAGGAAAGGCAGATTTAGTGATTTAATGTCTTTGTTTGTCTAGTTGAGAAACCTCCAGAGGAGCCGCGGGAGGACCCTCTGGCCCGTACAGGCTATCCTTTTGGCGGGATGGTGAAGGACTTGAAGCGCCGTTTCCGTCACTACATCAGCGACTACACAGACGCACTGAACCCTCAGGTCCTCGCTGCCGTCATCTTCATCTACTTCGCCGCCCTGTCTCCGGCCATCACTTTTGGAGGCCTTCTGGGTAAAAGAGAGCTCAAGATAGAGAGTGTCTATTCTCTCAGTTTATTGACCTTTGATATTATTAATTATTTTCTCTTTTATCTAACTCTAGCTGACAAAACTGATAAAATGATGGGCGTGTCAGAGCTCATGATCTCTACCAGCATTCAGGGTGTCATCTTCTGTCTCATCGCCGCCCAGCCTGTCCTTGTCATCGGATTCTCCGGACCACTGCTGGTGTTTGAGGAAGCTTTTTTCGCTGTACGTATTGTATGAGTTGTCAAATGTTAAAACTCCTGAAATAAATCTCTAGTTTTTCTTCGTTAACATCTACTTTTCTACATTCATTCCATACTAGTTCTGCAAGTCCCAGGGCATTGAGTACATTGTGGGTCGTATCTGGGTGGGGATGTGGCTGGTAGTGATCGTGATCATCATTGTGGCCGTGGAAGGCAGCTTCCTGGTCAGATTCATCTCCCGCTTCACTCAGGAAATCTTCTCCATCCTCATCTCTCTCATCTTCATCTATGAGACCTTCAATAAGCTCATCAAGGTTTCCTCACCTCCTCTCTTCATTCATTTCATACCACATTTCAGACACTTTTTTCCCTTTTAGTCATCGCTGCAATCGCCCGCATTTGTTGTTTCTTATTTTGCTTCCTCTGACTTCTCATCTCAGATCTTCAAAACCCACCCTCTGATTCTGAACTACGATCATCTGAACGACTCAATGGAAAACCCCTTCCACCCGCTCGTCAAGGAGCACATTGAGTACCATCCAGATGGCAACGTAACCATTCATGAGCTTGAGGTTGAAAGGCCCTACCCCAACACTGCCCTGCTGTCCATGTGCCTGATGTTTGGTTGCTTCTTCATTGCATACTTCCTCCGCCATTTCAAGAATGGTCATTACTTCCCTGGCCCGGTAAGATCAACTTCCTGTGTCTGTAGATTGTGTAGTTTTGAAAAGGCTCTAAATGGAAAAACCAATTAAGTAGGTTCTGTGATTTTGACTATGATGTATCTTTTGCTCTCTGTCTCACTAGCTTCGTCGTTTGATTGGAGATTTCGGTGTCCCCATTGCTATTTTCTTCATGATTGCAGTGGATATCAGCATTGAGGACGCTTACACTCAGGTAAGTGTTTTGTCGTGGTGAGATAAGTTTTTTGAGTTAAGTCTCTAAAAGAAAAAAAATCTATTTATCTAGTTATCTCACATGTTAGTATTAAGGAACTATAGGGGGGCCTGGTTCCCCTTATTTAGATATGAGCTCCCCCAAAAACATGGTTTGTGAAATATTGGGGGGTGTCTTAAATACTTCCATTTTTGCCCTGCATTTCTCTGTATGTTCATCATCATGGATCATACGTAAAATTAGGATATTATTGATGTATAATTCATGCATTAGGGTGATTCCTCACTAATTCACTTTCATAAGGATATATGCATGCATCTTTGATTGCAATTTCATAAACTTCACATCACAATCATCTTTCTTAGTCCCACTCAGTCTGTACTGTAAATTGCCACTTTTAATTTCTCTGTTTTTAGTCAGCGTGCTGTAAGTTAACCCCCCCGAAAGCCACTGTATAGTTCGCACACTGGGTGTGGTGGATTTAGTGTGGTCAACGACAAATGCAGTAAATTTGAGCCATTAAATTCAAGAATTTTCACTCTGGCCCCAAGAGTTTTGTTTCAATAAAATATCTAAGTTTTATTCAGTTCAGTTATTTGCATTTTTATTTTAACAAACAGACCATTTACATTTAGCTTTATGATGGACACATACAGATGCTTGTAGCTTTTGTCTGATGTTTTGGCCATTTGTACAGTCCTGAAGAAACAAAACACAGTTTCAGCTTTGATTTTTATTTTATTTTATAGTTAATGACAAATGACAAATAAACTTAGACTTGAAGGTTAGTAGTTTAAGGTGACAGTGGATCGAGGCATTCCTTGTAGCATTTTGGATCACAAGTTTAAATACAAATATGGCCAAACTGAAACTATGCTCAGTTCTGTGATTTTTTTGTTGTTGTTATAAATGAGCTGATTAAAGATCTTTCTGTCCCCTTGTAGAAACTGGTTGTGCCAAAAGGTGTTGAGGTGACCAACCCCAAAGCCAGGGGCTGGTTCATCAGCCCCATGGGAATAAAAAAACCTTTTCCCTATTGGATGATGGGCGCCTGCTGTGTACCAGCACTGCTCGTCTTCATCCTCATCTTCCTGGAGTCCCAGATTACTACGTGAGTGACACTATAGTTGTATATTAGCCTTCAATATTACTCCATGTAATCCCATCCAGAGTTTCTTCTGATATTCTCTGTGGATTGACAGGCTGATTGTGAGCAAACCTGAGAGGAAGATGGTGAAAGGATCTGGTTTTCACTGGGATCTGCTCATCCTGGTCACCATGGGAGGCATTGCCTCTATTTTCGGGGTGCCATGGCTGAGCGCTGCTACTGTGCGATCTGTCACCCACGCCAACGCTCTCACTGTCATGACCAAGGGCCCGAAACCAGAGATTGAGAAGGTGATAGAGCAGAGGATCAGTGGCATTCTTGTGGCCATCATGGTTGGTAGGTGCTGCCATCTACAGTGCTGATACAGACACAGCAGGGTCGCATACAATTTTCATTTTTTTCTTAATAATCATTCACTTTCTGTGATTTTCAGGTGTTTCTATTTTCATGGAACCTATTCTGAAGATGATTCCTATGACAGCCTTGTTCGGCATCTTCCTCTACATGGGTATTACCTCTCTGAGTGGAATCCAGATGTGGGACAGGATGCTTCTGTTGATTACACCAAAGAAATACCATCCCTCTGAGGCCTATGCCACCAGGGTATGCAACCTCCTGAAATACAGGACTTTGCTCTGATTATTAATATATTATACACCCTTGTGTCTGAAGTCATATAGCTGTACTGGGTATAGACTGAAATATGATCATTTTGTGTCTCTTTGTGGTGACTTTGAATCTGTTTGTGGTCATTTTACATCTTTTGGTCGTCATTTTGTGTCTCTTTGTGGTTGTTTTGCATCTTTTTGTGGTCATTTTGTGTCTCTTTGTGGTTGTTTTGCATCTTTTTGTGGTCATTTTGTGACTCTTTGTGGTTGTTTTGTGGTCATTTTGTATCTCTTTGTGGTTGTTTCACATCTATTTGTGGTTGTTTCACATCTATTTGTGGTTGTTTCACACATTTTTTCAAAGTAATTGAACTAACTTTCCAACAAGTAATGTTAACAGTCACTTCAAACTGAGGCTCTGGCCCAGGGGTCCTGTGAACCCTTGGACTCCTGGGTCCAGTAGACCCTTTCAGAAATCCTTCCATGCAAAAGACTATCACGTTAAATTGTACATGCGTTGTTTTTTCTTATTGCCTATAACAATCTCCCCGTAAATTATCTTAGCCTGAATTAGCATTCTGTTTCCACGTTAGTCTTTGGCTCTGTGTTCCCTGTTAACCCTGTCCTCTGTTCATTTGTGTAGGTGAAGACCCTGCGTATGCATCTATTCACTCTGATCCAGCTCGTGTGCCTGGCTCTCTTGTGGATGGTGAAGATCAGTCCCTTCTCCCTGGCACTGCCTTTTGTTCTCATTCTCACCATTCCTCTGCGCATGGTCATGACCGGCACGCTCTTCACTCCCATGGAGATGAAATGTGTAAGTACCTCTCTGTATCTGTTGCATTAACCTCTAAGGTCAGGCACACATTATTGTGTTACTTGGGTTTCTCTGTTGTAACTGGATGTGTGTGTGTGTGTGTGTGTGTGTGTGTGTGTGTTGCAGCTGGACGCAGATGATGCCAAAGTGACATTTGAGGAGGAACCTGGGAAGGATGTGTACGATGAGTGCCCACTCCCATAAACAACACCATATCATTCATGTTTCATTCACAAACTTTCAAATGAACTAATTTCATGACTGCCATTAATCTTTAAAAATATGTATTGTTGTAAACATACAGTTTCAAACTATTCTGTTCTGTTATTATTATTTGTCTTTAAAGGAAATTACCTCTCATTTCTAGAATTCATACATTATTCCAATAGCTGAATCTGTGTTTCTTCATCTTTTAGTTTGGGGTTTATTGACAATGCTTCCCTTTTTTTGTTTCTTAAATCAGACTGTTTAGTGATTTTATGATGGAGAAACATTTGATGTATTTAAATCAGAAGTATTTTCCCTTCAGACGTGAAGTAAATCCATTTATACGTTTTTTTCTTTAGTGCATAACTACAGTATAGCTTTAGAATACCAGTGGTGCCACATTGTAGATCTGCTCATGTTGTAATAACATGACTGCACCTAACTTAATGTTCCCTATTTAAGTTAAACACATTTGATCTATTCACTTCTTTACACATGCACAAATAATGCATTTTCATGGGACTATCACACCAGCCTTTAGCCCCATACAGTAGCCTTCCTTTGTTTATTTTCAAAATGTGTTTTCAATTACCTAAGTGTTCCCCATTTGACATATTGTGTATGGTTTTCCTGAAGAATTTGGTCTCTTCTGTTCCTGTTTAGAATGTGTATAGAAAGCTGTGTAACGCACTTATATCCGATTGATTATTGCTTTTATGATTATATAATGTGATAAAAAGTGATGGGTGGATAGTGTATGATGAAATATAATTATTTGAGCCGGATGTCGTACTTATGATATAATCAGGGAAAAGCTTAATTGTAAATGCATCCTATTATGCCTTTTTGTGTTGCCTACCATGTGTTTGTGTGCCTGAAACACTGTACATGCTATGGATTTTCATTTTATTAAAAATAAAAACAGCCTATAAAGTGCCTGTCTTTATTAATGCATTAGAAAATACAATATTTCACATCACTCACATCGTTTTTATCATTTCATCCTATAAGTAACAAGAGAGGGCTGTTCAATTGCGTGCCACTCAGCTGAATGATGCCTTCAATGTTGTCCAGTAAAGTACAAAATTAAGCAGCATGTCGTTTTCTAGTGGGGCAGCTGGCAAAATTAGCTCAGACATGTTCACGTTTGAATTACTTTATTTAAATCAGATCTGATTAAGTATTAAAAAAACAGTATGGGAAGGTTTAATAACCTTTACACGGATACCAATACCACGTCCAAATCTGTCATGGAGAACCAGAGTTTTAATAAATAAATAAGTAATTACTTGTCAATACACAACATAATGAAACTCCTTCAAACAGTTGCCATTTATATCTTATTTCAGTTCATAACGCTACTTTCATCAAAAAGTCAGATAGCCTATATGATTGAACGGAAAGACAGAGTGGAATAAATAAATAAATAAGGAAACAGGACATTTGACAATAAAAACTGATGAATATGAAGAAATTAAATAAAAATGATCCGCAATAAACACGGTATGTCAAAATAAACTGGATGAAATAACATTTCAAGATCATGAGCTGAGCTTTTAAAACTGCTTGCATTAATTCCCAATCTATGGTTACATTACGTCTCATATATATCCTCTCATGATTTATTTCATTTTATTTTAAACACGGTCAAATTAACACATCCACATCCAATGTTTGTGCCCGCAATGAAGGCAAAATTTCCCACAGCCACGGAACGCAGCACACTTTAACAAGGCCTGAAAGTCATTTGTTTTCCTCGAATCGGACTGACTGGATTGGACGGCCGCGGGTTCCGCCCACAAACACACAAGGTGGAGTTGAAAAGAAAAAAACATGCAGGGCCAAAATGAAGCTGTCAAACAGCCTCTTACTATTTGCTAAAAGAGAAATCGAGCAATGTGAAAATGCATGGAGGCTTGCTTAGAAGACCATTTTAGATCTCTCTAAAGTGGAAGTCTGACATTGATGAGTGAAAATTAAAAACTTTTATTTTTTAAATGAAAAAAAAAAAAATGTTAATTATACTAAGTTATGGGAGTATGTGAGATAAGCTGATTGTATTTATATTAGATAACAAGTGGCACAACTTCGGCTTTCATGAAACTTTCCACTGCCATGTTTAGAAATATTCGTGGTTCAAACTTCGGGCCGGAGATCTGACAGCGTCGGGCTGCGGGAGCAACAAAATAATGGCTCTCGGTTAGGGTTCAGAAACAACGGCGCAAGGTCGGAAAAAATGTGGATGTTCCGGCGTGGCGAAATGGTTGGATGGAGAGAGAGGAGCTGCTACGCGCTGAGTGGAGGGAGACAGCGAGTGAGATGGAGGCGGGGGGGAAGGACCATCTCTGCGGGGACTGGAGCCCAGGACCGACGGCGCAGTGCTGGCTATCGTTCAACCCTCCCCTTCTTCCTCCACAACGACACCGAGGCTCACGCCGAGAGACAGGTAAGCCAACAAAACAACCGCTCGGTTTCATAAAACGGCGAGAGTGTGCGATAAACAACCCCGAATAAGGTTGGGGGTTTTTTTGTGTTGTTTTTAAAACCGCGCAAAATCTACCGTTTAATGTTTATTTTGTTGTTAAAGCGCCGCGGTCGTCAAGCCTCTTTGTGGTAGCGAAATAAACCAACCGCTGTGGCAGGGTACAGACGAGGTCGGCCATAGCCGAATTTCTTGTCCTCTACAGCGGGGAAGAAACTGGACGTAAGACCCGGAGGTAAATGCGATAGCGGCTTAAAATGTACACCAAGCGACTGTTTTATGCTAATTCCCGTTATCGAAACTCGACTGTTCGTGCTTGTAGCCGGGGTATTTGCGTGGGGGAATTAACGGTGGTTTCCGCGCCGAGACCTCCATGCGGCTGTTGGCGGAACAGCCAGCCGCCTCTCTCGGTTAGCCATCAGGGATCTCGGTTTAATATCTCACCGTGCAGAGACTCGCCCTCTCTCTCCCCCTCTCTCTCTCACTGACTAGCCCAGAACAACCGACGATCGAGCTCGGAGAACCCGCCTTCTTGATCTCGTTTATGCGCTTTTGGACCGAGGGAAGGGAGTCTGCAACGCCCTGGCTTTAGTTTTAAGCTCCGTTTTTCTGTGTTTGCAGTGCGCCATTGGACCTTGTCACGGTAGGTTTCCTCGTAGAGCAGAGCTGAAGCATGGCGGACCTGGAGCTGTTTGTCGCGCCAGTGAAGCTGCTCTTCCTCGGATGTTAACATGTTTCCTTTGAGCTTTTTTTTTTTTTCTCTCTCTTTCCCCCAGCTAAACAATTTAACTACAGTTTATCCGCGACACTGTAGCACAAACCGTTAACAGCTAACGTTTCCGTTGAGACGAACTCTTCGGTAAAGTGAGGTCGAGGCTTTAACGTTTAACCGTTAAAAAACATTTTCCATTTTCTTCTTTCTTCCTGCGCCTCCGCAAGTCCTTCCAACCCACCACCACGACATTTATCTCGGACGTTTACCCAATTTGTTTAAATGTAATTTTACGGAACTCCGTTAAGTCTATTGTAACGAATTTTAAACGTTTAACGGTAGCTACATTTTTGCCGTTATAAGTGTTTTTTTAAAACGTTTTGTTGTAAATAGTAAAATTATGTAGAGGTCTACCAAACCGGAGATTATTAAATGCGGCTAGCTAAACGCAAAGTTTTGTATTAAATGGTAACATTTTAAAATATATTAAGAGAAAAGTGCCTTTTTAAATTTTTCATCTGTCGTGCCAAGTTGCCCTTGGGCATGTAACTTAATGCTTGAGCTCCCAATTTGTTATCATCCATATGTTGTAATATTATTATACTGAAATTAAAGATATATTTGATGTTATAACGGCTCCAGGTGTGCGTTAAGGTAGCTTTTTAGTCCCAAAAATACTGATAATGATAGTTTTTACTGTAGCCAGGTCACACCGTGGACTCCACAGTGAGCTGCGGCCACCAAGGACACGATGAACAACGAGCAGCCGCCATCATTGGAGCACAGCTCGGCTACGCCTCGCTGAAGAATGCTCTGGGTTTTGCTCTTAAATCGCCATATTTAACGCCAAAAACCCGAATAAAGCGGTGTGGGAAATACTCTTGGAACACATTTATTAACTGTAAGCGAATCTTATATCGATTTCCTCGCTCCAGCCTGAGTAAACACTTGAAGGGAAGATTATAGGGTTGCATGGCGGAGCTAGATCCGCGTCCATCGGTGATGAGGCGCCTCTGCCGAGTGGCGCATTTGGCTGCAGTACTTCCAAGCCACCATTCCCCCTTGTCGGAGACCGAAAGCAGATCCCCAGTCCGTGGTCAGCTGGTCGCCTACAGCTGCCTGTCCGTCCACTTCCATTCGCTTCCTCCTTCCGTGTATCCTCCCCAACCTCCGACAGAAAATCCTCCATTACCGGGCGGACCGAGAGAGAGAGAAAATGGTCGCTCCTGTGTGTCCACGATACTTTTGTTGTGGAATAAGGATTGTAATAATACGCCAGATTCCGGCTGGCAGAATTTGCTCGACCGAGACTCCTGTTGTCGCTCTAGTTGTGCTAGTTGAAGCCCTCCGCAGTGTTATTTGAGATTTGAAGCCGTCACAAGCAATAGCCTATGTCTCACCATGTAGCGTAAACGTTTAAGGGGCGGTGTAATGAACATAAACCATTATGTCGAGGCAAATTTAAATTCCACGACTTGGTTACATCGGAGTTTTACTTTTTATATCAAAGACAAAATAACTGTTTTGAGAAATCGTATGAATCATTTGCACATTAAAATAACATTATCATTAAATTCTGTGATTTAATAAACAACTATTATACTATATAAACTACTATGAGTGTAGGAGCGAAGTATGAACCTACGGATTTCAATGTTTTTTCTCTATTAAAGTTAATGTTACTGTTTGTTAACTTGATTTTTTAAAATTCTTTTTGTAGATACAAGACAGTACACTCACAAATGAATGGGGAAATGGAGGCAACCACCCAAGTCCAAGGTGGGATTTTTTAACAGCTTTGTTAACTTCTTATTCCACAATTAATCCATAGAAACAATATATTGATTATTCTTTTTAAGACACACACAATTACAATAAATCTGCTATTATGAAAACTTAATGATATAATGATGCATTTGATTAATGTATTTGACATGTCCCTGTAGCAATTATAGTGATCTTCTAAGATTATACTTACTATTTAGCCACAGAAAACAGTTTATTACACACACAATTAAAAAGTCAGTATGTAAAGGGACTTTATTTTATTAATGACAGCTGCAAAAGTGTTTTTTTTTTTTTAATTTATTGTTTTTTGTGTTATCACAGTGTGGGCGCAGGATGACCTATTAAAACTGCTGGAGGCCATGAAAGTGGCCCTGCCCCAGAAAGATCTGACGAAATACAAAACGTCCGAGTCCCACCTCGACTGGCAGAAGGTGGCCTTCAATTCCTACACAGCAGAGATGTGTAAGCAGAAGTGGCAGGAGGTCTCTAAAGAGGTGAGCCACGTTTAGCAATATTGATATTGATTGTTGTTTATTGTCTTTTTTACACTTAATTGAATTTGCATGTTTTTTTTTTATATCTGCCTTATCCACAGATTCGTAAATTCCGGACCCTAACAGAGCTGATAGTCGATGCCCAAGACTACATCAAAAATCCTTACAAGGGCAAGAAAATAAAGGTGAGTTAAAATCACACAAATAATGAAAAACTAGTCGTCTGAGTGGAGCTTAAGTCTCAAGTTTATTCACTCTGCTTTTCCCCCCACGATACACAGAAACATCCAGATTTCCCCAAGAAGCCACTGACGCCGTACTTTCGCTTCTTCATGGAAAAGAGGGCCAAGTACGCAAAGTTGCACCCTGAGATGAGCAACCTAGACCTAACTAAAATCCTCTCCAAGAAGTACAGAGAGCTCCCCGACAAGAAGAAGGTTAGTCAGAAACAGAGGCCACTGCTGATACATTTGACACTACTTGATACAGTGTCTGAAATTCCAACAAAAACATTGTTTTCTTTTCATGTCCACAGAAAAAATATGTTGACGACTTCTTAAGAGACAAAGAATCATTTGTTATAAGCATGATGAAGTTCAGGTGAGATTACTACCTTTCACAATTAAGTATTATTAACCCTGGGGATATAAGGCCTGCGCCTGCAGTATATTTAAGGATGCTAATTGTGCTTAAATGTTGGGTTATGTGTAAATGCAGAGAGGAACACCCAGACCTTGTGGAAAGCATGACCAAGAAAGGTTCAAATGTACCAGAGAAGCCCAAGACCCCCCAACAGCTGTGGTACAACCATGAAAAGAAGGCCTTCCTCAAGACACACCCAGATGTAAGTTAAAGCACCTACTACACCACGTACTCTTAAACCGTGACTGCATGATACCGCAGATGTTAATTTTCTCTGTCTGCCACCAGGCCACCACTAAAGACATTAAGGACAGTCTTGGCAAACAGTGGACACAGCTGTCTGACAAGAAGAGACTCAAGTGGATCGGCAAGTCTCTGGAGCAGCGGAAACTGTATGAGGTAAGACTTGGCTGTTAGAATTACGAAGGGTGATGATGACATGCCTTCCTTCTTTCTTCAGTGTTAACTATGTTTTTGTTTGCAATATTCTAGGGGACAATGCGGGAGTACATCCAGCAGCACCCAGAGTTAAACATGACCCAAAATGATATCGTAAAGTCCACCCTGACCAAGGCCGAGAGGCACCTGAAAGACAAATCTGACGGCAGACCCGACAAACCACCTCCGTGAGTCACAGCTGCAAATCCCCCGCTGACACATCTGCAGGATGCTGGTTGAGTTGAATTTGTAAAAATATAATGTATAATGTGCATATGCTTTCAGAAATGGTTACTCGATGTTCTGTGCGGAGTTGATGTCAAACATGAAGGACGTACCCAGCACAGAGCGCATGGTGATGTGTAGCCAACGGTGGAAGCTGCTGAAACAGGCTGAGAAGGATGGCTACCAGAAACGCTGTGAACAGGTGAGTTCAGAATCAGCAAGTGTGTAATAAAAAAAATATATTTATTTTTTTGACAATTTTGTCTAAAAAAAATTATTTGGTTTTGTTTCAGAGGAAAAAGGAGTATGAAATTGAGATGAACAGATTTCTCAGCGTAAGTCTTTGGTTTCTACTTCTACATATACTGTACATATACTATATGTCAGAGCTATTGCAGTTCTCATTTGCGTGCTTTGCTGCAAGAATTTCTTATGTATGTTTTCTTCTGCTATTCCATATGGATCTGTAGAGTTTGTCAGAGGAGGAGCAGCAGCGGGTCTTGTCTGAGGAGAAGATAGGTTTTAGGAGGGGCGCCGGAGCCAACAGTCCTGCCTCCAAAAAGAAGAACACTAAAGCAAAGGTAAGACCAAGTATAAAACTTCACATTAGGCCCATGAACTGTGACCTCACTGGGAAAAGTGGATAAGATCAAGCAGCAGCAGCAGCAGCAGCAGCAGCAGGAGGAGGAGGTGGTGGAAAAAGCTGCAGTTAGGTCAGTTAAGTTTCCAGCAGCCTTCAAAGAATAAACAAAAGTTCCCTGAAATGTTTACATCCCACTAGACCCATCTCTACCTCTACCTCTACGCTTTCAGACCACATTCAGATATATAAATAAACGGTATTGTTATTATTATCATCCACACAAAATATGTTTAATAGATTAAACCTTCATTGCATGAGGCTAATACCCTGAAATCTTGCATTAAATAATACAATTACTCAGAAAACGTGGTGCTTGTGGTCAAGACTTAGAGCCAGTATATTTGATCAGGCAACAGGCAGGTGTTTCCTGTTATGCCCTGGGTCTTGCAGATGGTGTAGAGTAACTGCGGTGCCTAGCCCTAAAAAAACAGCAGCTGTCTCAATCTCATGAGTCAGAAACAAGTCTAACCAGCATGCATTGTGCACCGATCACTCTGGTTGATCACAGCATAATTAATTAGAATTATTGTGAAACTCTAGTGTGTTAAGCTCAAGTCCCATTTCCTATATGTTTAATTCATCTTACTATTAAACAGTAAAAGTTCAATATTCTACGGGCATTTAATAAGTTACTCAGATGCTGTGCTATTGTTTTCTGATATTTCCTTGCTCTGTAACTTGCAGGCCAATCCGGAGAAACCCAAAAGGCCGATTTCAGCAATGTTCATCTTCTCTGAGGAGAAACGTCCTAAACTGCAACAGGAGCGGCCGGACCTTTCTGACAGCGAGCTCACAAGACTCCTGGCCCGTATGTGGAATGAGCTGCCAGATAAGAAGAAGGTAACCTGTCAATGCAATGTAACATATACTGCTGAGGAGATGTCAGGTCACAGAATCATACTGATATGTGAGATTTTCTAATTATCTTGTTGTCTTGGTCATTTAGGAGAAGTATAAACGCTTAGAAACAGTCCTGAAGGCAGAGTCAGAGAAGAAGGAGAAGGAGGATCGTAGTCGTCTGCCGGACCCACCCAAGACTGCACAGGACATCTGGCAGCAGAGTGTCATAGGAGACTACCTGGCCAGATTTAAGGTACGCATCTCTCCTCTCAATTCAAACTGGTAATTTAGTTTTAGCTCCATAACATCATAAACACGGATTGAACAGGTGATAATAAAAGTGCATGTATTAAAATATGTCCTGAAAAGGTTGATCACATGTATTAATTCCTCAAAGTTAAAAACCCGGAATTAATTAATTTGTGTCATTATTCGCCAGTCGCCACAAATGCATTTAATGTGAGCGTGTGCTTTTGCAGAATGACCGGCAAAAGGCACAGAAAGCAATGGAAGCAACCTGGAGCACCATGGAGAAAAAGGAGAAAATTATGTGGATCAAAAAGGCAGCAGAGGACCAGAAAAGATACGAGGTTTGTGGCAATTCACTGACAGTGTCCAGTATAAGACCACAGCGTCTGTATACAGTACCGGGGAGAGCTAATAGTTGACTTAACTCTCCTCAACAGAGAGACCTGTGTGAGATGCGCTCTCCTGCTGCTACCATTGCCTCAGGGAAGAAGATGAAGTTTGAGGGTGAACCCAAGAAACCACCATCGTAAGTTTGTCACGTCCAGCTCGTCTGTGCAACCTGTTGGGTGCTTATTCTGTGGACACCTCGGTGGTGACTTGTGCTTCCTTTTGACTCTCTAGAAACGGATATCAGAAGTTCTCTCAAGAGATGCTGTCCAACGGAGAGCTGAATCACCTCCCGATGAAGGAGCGGATGACTGAGATCGGCAGCCGCTGGCAAAGGTTACCACTAAAGAACAAGGACAACTACAAGAAGATCGCTGAGGAGAAGCAGCGACAGTACAAAGTCCAGCTGGAACAGTGGCTCGCTGTAAGAAGTGGTTGTTTTGTTGTTTGACTGGGGGGGGACGGGGGATCAAAACATCTTGGACACTTATCTAACATGCATCTCCATCCTTCCACAGAGCTTGTCTTCACAAGAGAGAAACACTTATAAAGAGTATAACTCACAAGTAAGTCAGTTATTTCATTCCTCTGGTTAGCATTGTGCTGTCACAAACTGAATTAGAAAGCATACGGTTGCTCTGAAATGTTTTAATCTTTCTAACATGTTACGTTGGCACATTTTAAAACGGTTTAATCCCTTGACGTTTCAGAAACGAAGAACTACGGCAAAACCAGGAGGCCCCAAGGCAAAGGCCAAGAAATCTGTAAGTGCACGCTCTCGTTCTTCTCTCATTAATCAGACTCAGTATTTTTGCTGATGTTTTGTTGTCGGCCATACCTGAAAATCTCTCTTCCCACAGGACACGGAGGAGGAGGAAGAGGACGACGATGAAGAAGAGGACGAGCGGAAGGCTTCCTCTGAGGCAGAGTCATCCAGCGAGGATGATGACGATGATGATGATGTGAGTGGCGTCCGTCTTTTTCCAGTACACAGAAAAAACAATAAGAAGGTGACTGTGCTAAATATATATTGTTTATCGTTGTTGTTTAAAGAAGGAGGCGGATGAAGATGACGACGACGATGAAGAAGATGACGATGAGGCAGAGGACAAGGAGAACAAGTCGGAAGAAAGCAGCAGCGAATCAAATTCACAGGGGTCGTCGGACTCTGATTCGGACTGAAACTGGCCGTCGTCGTCGTCGTGAGACGAACTGAGCAGCGCTGAGCTGAGCCAAGAGTCAAGGGAGCTCTGCCACTGTGCCAACCCTGCTCTCCTCCCACCACCAGAGGGAGCCCCTGCATTGCCTCATCCACTTCACACTCACCCATTTTATGTTGCTGCGTTGGTGATTCTCAAGGAGGGAACCTGCCCTTATGTCCAAAATCAGTTTCATTCCCTCCCTGGTGTGATGGTCATCTGACAGCACGGGCCGCTGACGTTATGCCAAAAACAGCATCCCACTGGTTTGGTGATGAACATTTCTGCCGCTAGTTTAAATTTTGACTTACAGGTTCAATGGTTTATGGTTAGAGTTTTAATGTTGAGGGAGATGAATGAACTCTCCAATGTTTATTTTATTATTCTGGTAATTAGTTGAAAACAGGTGGCTTCATAGAGCCAAAGAACATAGTATGGTGGATCACTTTAGGGAGGGGGGTGGGGGGGGTGTGTGTGCAGGGTACTGAAAAATTGCACTCTTCAGAATGTTTCCATGAATTTTTTTTTTCCAGAACCTTGTTGCGTTGTTCTCTATTCTCAATTTATGATGTAGATTTTATCATTTGGTTCTTAAAGAGGTGGTATTTTTTCAGGAAAAAAATCAAGCCATTATGAATGTCTTTTTGTTGCTGGAAAATTTCAGAACTTGTTACTTACCCATGTTCTCATTTAAAAGATAACAGTGTCTACATAAAGTATTCACCCCCTCTTGGACTTTTTTCATGTTTTATTGTTTTACGATGTTGTACCAAAGTGGATGTAATGAGGTCTTGATACTCGTTAACGGAACATGTATCTTTAAAGAAATTTTGCAACATTTAGGTCAAAATGACTCATTTGCTTGAGAGTAAACCCAACCACATCCAGCTGCGACGTCTGCGTGTAAAACTGAAGCAGAACTGAAACTGACATTGACCTTTTCCAAACGTTTCCTGTAATGTCACGAGTAAGACCAATCTGTAAGCGCAGAAACCCAAAGTGATTACATACGTTTCACACTGCAAGCATCTTTGGCAGCAGTTACAGCCTGCAGTCTAACGTGGATCAGTCTTTATCAGCTTTGCGCACATGGGCGCTGCATTTCCCGCCATTTGTCTTTGCAAATCTGCCAATCTGTGGACTGTAAAGTGAGCAGCAGTTTTCAACTCAAATTCTCTACTTGGTAGTCCAACCCTCAGTAATGTTCTTTTTGTACCAACACAGCCTGCTCTAAGCAGATTTACAGCTGTGCCATATTCTTTACATTTCTTCCTACTGATTGACATAACTGTACTCTGAAGGCTATCCTGTGCCTTGAAAATGTTCTTGTATTCTTCCCTCTGAGTGGTAGTTTCCAGTAAACTTTTTGATTCATAGTGTTCCTTTGTCTTCACAATGTATTTTTTTTTATTAGACAGTTGAATAACAAGCTGTAGGAGCTTCCGGAAATGTGTATTTACAAGTCACTCTTTTAATTATACACGTGATCTCCATTCAACTTATGTAACGTATAAAAAAGCACCATTCAATACTTATGTAATCAGTTATTTTTGTTTAATATTTGGACTTAATTTAGATCCGTTTAGAGCCTGTTGATTTGTATATAAAAAAAAAAAAACCCCTGATTACATCCACTCTGCTTCAGAGTTGTGAAATAAAAAAAGGTCCACGGGGGTGAATAAGTGTTATAGGCACTGCAGTATCCATTGCCATGTGTCTGTCATTCATCAAGCTTAACTGACATGTCTTGTACACAGAAATCCATCAGTCTGAAACAATTCTGTCTGACTCAGCAGTTTGTTCTGGCCTGGCAGTAATAAACAGTGTTTACTGTGTGACCAGAGCAGTTTGTCGTTGAAGGGATAACACTGGTTTCCCACACTTTGAGCTCAATCTGACTCTGTGTTTTTAAAGGATATGTCACACAGTCGGTGTATGTTTCTCCTCTGAACTGTCGTTTTACATTTCGTTCGCAGTTTAATTGTTAATAGGTTTGTTTTTAATTGTTGTGTTCGGATCCATCTGGAATCATTTGTTGGATGTTGAACTGAATGGCGTTTCCATCAAACATTTTCAAGTTCATTTTGAAATTCTAATGGTATTGACTGTAATCCACATGGGTTTTAGTCCGATGCTTATCCCAAAAAAGTGTGCACTTAACGTAAATCTGTCCCTCTGTGTGAGTTTGTGTGCATGCATGCACAGAACTGTGTATATATGAGGGGTGTGAGTGTGTTTCTTTGCTTTAATGTGTGCTGTTTTTACTGTTTTTGTTGCATACCATGATGTGACTGCAGTGTGCATGTTTGTGCCTGTATGGGGACATCTTACCAACACCATGAATGTAGATATTGTTAAATCTTTTTTTTTTTCCTCCAAAGGTCTTTAGTAATTTTTCTGCTCGACGCTGTCGTGTCATTGGTTGCCAGAACACGGACCAATGACAGGACTTTTCATTCATGACTGTCACTTCGGGTCCACAGACATATGAGTACATGGCAACTATTAATAATCTGTTAGTAATGGACTGATTTTGATCATTATGAATCTCATCACTGTCTGAAACAAAACCAGCGTGAACTATTTAAATGATTTGGGGAGGGAAAAGGAATCTGATTGCTGATATTGATCACTGAGAGTTTGTAAAAGGGATTTGGGGGAACTGAGTTGCCAGAGGAATTGGGGTTAAAATCTTGTAATTTTTCTGTAAATACTGTTTTTGTATTGAGTGCTTATTGTTTTGTTAGTGCTTTAAGTTTGCAAACCCTCATCTGTGACTTCTGAGGCCAGTGAGTTTTTCACTCATGGGGGAGAGTTTTTGGTTTAATTCACCTGTTTTAGTTGTTTCTTCTCTCCCTTATGTTGGTTTATAGAGATATCTAAGACAGCAAAGCTTTACAAGTTTGTACTGCTGACCATTTGACAGAATTTGATGTTTTCTATAGCTGAGGGTGTTCTTATGTCCTTGTAGTTAAAGTCTTTCGGCAAATAAAAAAAATGATCTTTAACAGTTAGAAGTGTGTGTTGTGTTGTAACCTCCTATGAGCTGAACTAATGACACTAATGTCAGAGCACTGTATATGTGGCCCAAAGGCTGCTGCTGCTGTACTTCTGGTCTGGGGCTGTTTTTAATGGTAAGTTCCACAATACCACGCTTTGGATTTATCAATTAATGAATTCATTGGAAACAATTTAGATCTAATAATCATATAAGTGATTTATTTAGCAAAATTCACTAGTTCCAGCACCTGAAATGATCCGATTGTCTTGATTAAAGACTGATTAGCTTTTGGTCTTAGACTGTTAGGTGGACAGAACAACAAATTGATTTGTCAACTTGCACTGAGGGAAATCATACTGGGAATTTTTCACTATTTTAATTTTAAAAAATGATTAAATAATCAAATATTCTGTAATAAAAGCCAAAAGCTTGTACGACCACAGTAACCTGCTACAACACAGGAAATGAGCTACTAATAACCTCCCATTCCTCAAACTCTCTGTGCAACATGCACAGTTTGCTTTACCGCAATACTCCAAATTTACTGTACAACAATTTAATTAAACACATTAACTCACTGGTTTTCAAACTTTTTTTGGGGGGTGGGGTTGTGTCCCCATAAAACTAAGCATCATGACCATCTTAAATCAAATAGTAATCCTGTCTCAAATTGTTTACTAAAGGGGGGAACTAAAGAGAGAAAAGTCAGGGAAATAAAGGAGAAATATGGTTTTAATTAGAGCGTCTCATTGCCACTCTGGGAGTCCTGCCCCCAGGCAGGGAAACACAGAGTTAAGGAATATGCAACATATAGGCATTAAACCAAAATAATAAAGTTTTAACTAGTTTTTAATGAAAGGATCCTACTACAAGGCCTTAAGATCAGGAAATAAGAAATAATAAGCACAAACTAGTTGATACACAGGAGCTCCTGGTATTCTGGAAACATGACAATGGCTTCGTGCACAAAGCCAGCTCTATAAATAAATGTTTCTCATAGTTTGGTGCAGAAGAACTTGATCTCAACCCCATCCCACAACATTTAGGATTAACTGCAACACTGCTGGAGCCATGCCACTCACCTAACATCAATGTGACCTCACTAATGCTCCTGTGGCGGGAGCAGCCGGGTACCAAAGTCCGGGTGGGAAGCCTTCACAGGAAGGTGGAGGCGGTTGTAGTAACAGATTAAACCCCCCATTGTTGTTAAAACGAGGTGTTTACAATCACACATGCATGTGATGTGCGCTGTCCACATACTTTTGGCCATATAGTGCGCATTATTGGTACCGATGACCTCATTCGACCGTCCAGGCACAACCAAGTGATCCCAGATAACAAGGAGCAATCTCACGTTCATTTATTGATGTCTTAGGTGGATGGGAAAAGTCCGCCTGCGTCAAGCCTGTCAGAAATACGGGAAGCACGCACAGTGTACCTTCAAAATAAAATAATAACACCCCCCCCCACAGCTACGTCGCACAAGTCTCCTAGCAACCACGGCTTTTATTGGCTGGTCTCCGACAGTAATTGGCTAAATATAGCTGGAGCTGTGTGTGTGTGTGTGTGTGTGTGTGTGTGTGTGTGTGTGTGTGTAGGATGCTTTTGTAACAAATGGTTTGGGTAACAGTAAGGATGAAATCATATTAACATCTTTAAGCAAACCCAGTGCAACAAGTGTGGCCTCTTATCAACTATATATATATATATATATATATATATATATATATATATATATATATATATATACATATATATATTACATATATTTATGTAAAAGTAGTGTGCAGTTGCATTGGACTGCATCATATTGAGAAATGTTCCTCACTTACATGTGGGGGACAGAACAGGCCTTTTTAATCCTGTGAGTAATAACAGAATAATAAGATAATATATAATAACGTTATATTATTATTACTAACGCTTTAATGTGATTACTGATGATTTAATGTTGTAGCTGGTCCAGGTGGAGCTCATTTTAACTACCTTGTACACAGCAGTTTACTCTATTACAATATATAATCTTTTATACACTGATCATGTGTTGTGTGTGTGTGTGTGTAAAATCCATCTGCAAAATAACTAGTGTAGCTCAGTAAATTAACTTAGTTATATTCCACTTCTGGTAATGATCAGTTGTGTAAAGCGACTAATTAAATTTACTCAAGTACTATACTTAAGTACAATTAAACTTGAGAGTTTCCATTTTATGTTGCTTAATGCTTGTATTCCACTACATTTCAGAAGAAAATATTGTACTTCTTCATTTATCTTAAAGCTGGAGTTACTACTTACTTTCAGATAAATATTTTCACAAACTAAACATACGCCAAAGCTTCATGGGGTGTCACGAGGCCCCTGATATTAAGGGGTGTAATAAAACTCTGTATTTTGCCCATGTTGTCTGCAAAGCTACAAAGCAATGTATATATGTATATATATATAAACACTGTAGGTCTATATCTCAGCATTTGCTTCACTTGTGTGAAGAAATGTAAACGTAGATTGTTTAATAAATGATAGAAAAAGGGTAAAAAGGGAAAAAAGCTGGGAATCACAGATTTATATAATATGATAGTTAACGACTAAACTAGCCAGCTGTATATAAAGAAATAAAGATTAGCACCACACCCACCTGCTGTGTATTAATACTTCAAAATATTCAAACACTCACATTATGCCTATAACCCAATAAGTACTTTTGCTACTTTAATCGAAATACATTTTGCTGACTTTTGTAATTTTATCTTGAAAGTAAGACCTTTACTTATAACACATAACACGGTTTTTTTCCTATTTCTACTTTTTACTTATTAAACATCTCAGTACTTCTTCCTCCACTCCAGGCAGGGCTTTTATTTTGAAGGTTAAAACCGGAAGTCCGTTTTCTGTTTCTGTTTGGTTCTACGCTGTTGGCCTCCGCGGTGTCAAGCGGGTTTTGCAACGTTAATTTAATCGACACCTGCGACAACAAACCATTTTAAAACGAGGATTTTTGTCTGTGTTTTCTATTTACAGGAGATAAGAGGATGGATGTGGCTGAACACCGGGCTTCTTGTTAACGGATTTCAATGCGGACTGACGGTCATGTCGCCTCCCTCACAGAAACTGCCTGGTTCAGGCTGAGTTTGTCGGTATGACAGGGTAAGAGGAAACAGTTTGTGGGGTTTTTCTTTTTAAAATTGGATTTAATAAAAACAAATGTAACGTTTGTACGTTGTGTCACATCTTCCCCTCCCCTTCATCTCAAACAAACTACCAAGTAGAGTCGCTAACACATGGTGGAAAGTAATGTTAGTTGACGTTAAGTGTCATTTATTGCCGCTCTGGTCTTCTTCTCCTACTAACGTGAGCTGCCGTTGGCCGTTGGGGACGTTGTGTTAACGGGTGTTTTTATATTTAGAAATGAAGCCCTGTTTACAGTGTTTACAGTGTTTGCAGTGTCAATAAAAGACTGTAGCTACCTCTGTTACCCACACCTGACGCATTGACATCATTGAATGGTGATCGTCGTCGATTCGCTACCCGAACCCGATTGGACCCGACACGACCCGCCGGGTTCAGGCCCCAAAAAAGGCTTCCCTAGGTCGGGCTCGGGTCGGGCTATTAAAAAAATTAAACAAAATAATAATTATTTCTTAATAATAACTGTAATTAAATGAGTAAATTTGTTATTAAATACATCTAAAAAAATATATATATTCATTTATTTTAAGTGGAAAATCGGGGTCGGGCCCCTAAACTGCTTCAGTGGTTCGGGCTCACACAGTTCGGGTTTGGGCCGGATATTATGGGCCAGATCACAGCTTCTGCTTACTACTGCAACAACAACATGTGATGCATCTGCTGTCTAATAAAATATTAATGACGATATGAGTGTATGGTGGTGAGGTATGTGGAGTTGGATGGATGTTTCCTGCAATTAATTTAAGAAAAACAAAACATTAAAACCCAACATCTGACTCTTATTCATTTATATATTTTCTTCTTTTCAACAGAATGAAGACATATCTGCAACAAGTGTTGATAACTGTTTTAAAAGTAAGTATTTTGCAATAAACTGGATCTTTGATGACAGATTGGATTTGTCATGTTCATCATGCTGATGTTCTCATGATCATGAGTTGGTTTGTTTTTATGTTCAAAACCTGCAGGTCAGCATCTCATTACCCTGCTATCAAGATTTCCCATACAGATTTTCAAATGAAAATGGAGGATATGCCCCTGTCAGGCCCAGACAACACCAAGCTGGAGGTGAGTGTATGTGTGTAAAATATTTAATTCTTCCTTTAACCGTCACACACAGACAGATGTTATGTCTTTCATCTGTTCTCATGTTTGTATTTGGTTCATCTTTTGTGTTGTAGGCCTTGGTCCATGACATCTACTCGGAGCTGGTGGAAGATGCCTGTTTGGGCCTGTGTTTTGAGGTGCATCGTGCTGTGAAACAGGGCTATTTCTTCTTGGATGAAACGGACCAAGAGAGCATGAAGGAGTTCGGTTGGTGCCGTGACTTTCAGTTATTTATGTTTTTCTTGGTTTTCTTTGGTGTGTTTCTTTACACTGTTTTCTTTGTTACTCTTTCAGAAATTGTGGATCAGCCAGGAGTGGACATATTTGGCCAAGTGTACAATCAGTGGAAAAACAAAGAGTGTGAGTGCCCGAACTGCAAAAGATTGATAGCGGCCTCTCGCTTCGCCCCGCACTTGGAGAAATGTCTGGGAATGGGCCGCAACAGCAGTCGCATTGCCAACCGCAGGTCGGTCAGTTAAAGTCTTTCAGGACTGTTGTGTTAATCTGTGGCTTCCACTTTAGGTACCATGAGCATCTGATCTGATTGTTTGATTGTTTTTTGTTCTACCCTTTTAACAGGCTAGCCAGCAATAATAACATGAGCAAATCAGAGAGTGATCAGGAAGACAATGATGACCTGAATGATAACGACTGGTCGTATGGGGCGGAGAAAAAAGGTAAGCATGTAAAACTGGTTTAACTTTAATTTCCACTGTGCCAAGAGCATAATTAAGGAAACCTCCCTTCTTCCACATAATAAACAAACTTCTTATTTCCATGTTGCAGCCAGGAAGAGAAAGTCAGATAAGGTATTTTTGCATATGTTTTCCCTTTTAGTACATTTTACATGTTTTAATATGTTTAATGAAGTCAATCTAATCTAAGAGTGATTTTATTTGTGCAGAATCAAAATTCCCCAAGAAGATCCAAATCTATAAAACATAAAAATGGTGAGTCTATCAGCTGTTTCTGAATGCGGGGTAAATGTTTGAACTGATTTCTGGGCTGCACATGCTGCTGGATGTTTTGTGCTCTGGTCTGTTCAGCAGTCTCGTGCTGCAGATCAGGACGTTCTGTGCTCACAGTCACAGGAAGTATATATGGACACCTGCTGTCTAATGTCAACCACAGTGTTGTGTAGAGAGATTACACACGCCAAGGGTTCACCTTTCTTAGATTTACTGATCCAGGGCCCAAATGTTAGCACAATGCAGAAAAAAGGTTGGGAGAGTGTTGCAAAAAAAATGTTGTTTTGTTGAGTAAAAGGAATAGTTCGACATTAACCTGCGAAAAAAAAGTGTAAAAACAACAAGTTGTGGTCTTACGGATGGCGTAAGCTCTTGCAGGAGTGACTTCTTCTGCCCAGGGACTATTTTTCTTTTAATAAAGATATTTTACAGTCCAATTTTTAAATGTGGTTTCTATGTTGCATGTGGTATAAATAAAGAGGATCAACAGTTATGTTTTTTTCGTCCAGGTGAGCTTGGGAGCAGCGTCAGTTCAGAGCCTTACAAGGTGACATACCCCTCTTTGTTTGTGTCGTCTGCAAGTCTACAAAGTTCTTCTAGTACAAAGTACTGATAATGTGTCTTGGTCTGTTTTTCATTTCAGTACAACTATAATACTGGCATCAGTTATGAAACTTTAGGCCCTGATGAAGTCCGATCCCTTTTAACAACGGTGAGCAGCTTGCATGGATACAAATCTATTTCCCAGAACAAACAGTCCCTTTGTACTGCTTCCCTGTGTTAATTGAACAAAGTATTTTTTATTTCTACAGCAATGCGGGGTGATCTCTGAGCACACCAAGAAGATGTGTACCAGGTAATTACTGTATAATCCACTGGCACAGAGATAAACTAGTGATGAAACGTTATCCACTCTGGGAGCAATTAACTGCGTTCATGGTGTTAAAACTGGGATAATGCAGGATACTTTGAGGTAATGTAACACTGGGCTTTGTGATGGTGTCGCCATGTTTAATCCAGATTCTGAGGTCAGTGTTATTCGGCCCTTCTGTGATACTTTGTCATGCAAACTAAATCGCTTTCACTGTCTGAAAATGAATCTGGAAACATGATAAATACATGGATGACATATCAGTTTGATCCATGTATTTATGAAATTGATCATGTATGTTGGGACTAACTCAGGGTACACAGGTGGCAACTCATTGCATTTCATCGTTTAAAAAAAGAAGTTCTGGACCAGGAATTGACTTGTTTTTCTCCCCAAAAGGAAACTCCAAATTCTATCTGATACAACAATAATTGCACACAGAAATATTCTGAATTAGACCGTACAGGACCCTGTCATTGACCAACCTCTAACACTTCCTAACCTTTAACACCTCATTGCTGCTCTGCCCCATCTGATTGGTCATTGATTGTGTCCGCAGCCGTCCGTCCCCAACTCCTTCCCTCCCTGTGACTGTGACCATCAGTCAGGGATGTATAATGCCACCTTGTGTCCCACCAGGTCTCAGAGATGTCCCCAGCACACGGACGAGCAGAGGAGGGCCGTCAGGGTGTTCCTCCTGGGGCCGTCCGCGTGAGTGTGCCCTGTCCCCTTCCTTACCCCCCCCACCCACCCACCCACAAAGTCTACTTAACAAAAGTCATGTTTGAATGAGTGTTGTGATCCTCACGGTGCAGGTGTTTGCTGATACACTTCACTGCTTTCTGATCGGGTTTACTTTTCCAGAAATAGGAGCAGAACGATGCTGCTGGGCAGTGTTGGGAATAATAGAGTTGTGACTGTCTTCTAACAGAAGTGTTAACAGACGGGTACACTGCAGCTGATGGGGATCTGAGTTCTCTGTGACTTTCTTTCATGAAAGAAGGTTATAAAATTTTGGTTTAAAGTGCATGCCATATACTGTGCGTGACCTCCTTAACCCGATGTCCACGTAGTAGTGGCATTGGCTCAAGGAGAGACCACAAGGCTATTATATTGGCCCGAAACCCACTCAAGCGAACATCCACTGGGAACAACTGAAAAAAGGGCAATGAATGGAGACGGTTCTATTGATTTCTTTTTACATATTTATGTCAAAGTTGGATTTGCAAACGTAGTGTCAGACAAGAACAGAACATAATATGTAAATGAGTATCTAGTTCCTCTTTGTATTCCTCACATAAGGGATCAAGTCCAAATCCTAAAACACAGTCTTGCTCTTTGCCTAAATTAAATCTCCTGAAATCCTTTTGGGTGCTACCAGAGAAACTGAATTCACATAAGTGGTAGTGCAAGCACTGAGACATTTTCTTTTTACATTTTCATTTTAATCAAACCACACGCAGCACTGCTTTTAAACACACAGATGTTCTCATCGTGTGTGTTTCACAGTAGAGACCAGTTGTAGCAACTTAGGCCAGAGATTAAAGTTAGTATACAAATAACATTATATAGACATTTTTATATCTGTGTGGTCAGTCTGAGTTTTGTTCTCTGTGTCTGGGTTTCGTGTAATAGGCCGTCGCTGCCTGATGCAGACACCGTGGTGGAGAGCGACAGCTTTGACATTCCTGATGGACAGACCCTGATGAGCCGCCTGCAGTGGGAGGACTCACCTGATATTTCACCCGCTGACTCTGCCTCATCTAAAGCCAGTAAGGAAGTAAAATGCATTACACTGGTTATTCACATTCATTTGTTCATAAAACGTAAAGACAGTTGATAGATACATTTTCTGCCCCCTGTCGCAGGCACCAACCACTCAGATTCTAGGAGGCCCAAGAAAAAGAAGAGGCCGTCTCTTGGTTTGAACAGTGGAGGAGGAGGAAGCTTGACCGGAGGCGGCGGCAGCAGCAGCAGCAGCTCTCAGAGTAATATCAGCTTATCGACCAAAAAAAAGAGGCCCAAACTCTCCGCACCTTCTATTTCCAGTATCTATGATGACTTAAACTAGCAGTCTGTCAGACCAGCTCTTGCCTCATCTATGAAATCCCTCCTTTCATACCTACATTTACAGGCCTAAATAGGATGGGATGAAACTTGACTTAGTAGTTTGGATTTCGGCCTTGACAAATCAGGCAATTTAATGAACATTTCTCTCTCTGTATTATGAACACAGCAATCTAAAAACTGTGGTCGGTCACAGAGTTCAGTGTTCGCACTTACTGGAAAAATGCTGTGCTAAAACTGAGCTTACCTTCTGCTTATTCTAGTAGTTATGGAGGGGTTTGCTCCCATTCAGCCACAAAATCATTCATATGGTCGGCCACTGATGTTGGGTCATAAGGCCTGACTCCCAGTCGGCGTTCCAGTTCATCCCAAAGGTGTTGAATGGGACATCAGGGCTCTGGGTAGGCCAGTCTCGTTCTTCCAAAACCAAACCATCTCTTCTTGGATCTGGCTTTGTGGAATGGGGAATTGTCATGTTGAAACAGGAAAGTGCCTTTCCCCTTACTGCTGACACAAAGTTAGAAGCACATTATTAGCTTAAATATCATTGTGTTACCATTGTGCTACCAGACTATAAATACACAAAGGACCAGGGTGTCCACTTACTTTTGACCATGAAGTTTGAGCAGCAGTTTGACACCATTACTGCAGTCGGTCTCTGCTGTTCAACTTAAGTGGAGAATTCACACCATATCCTTTTCACAGAAGCCAGGGCTGCACTCCATTTAGCTTCCCTGATTTCAGGGCCCTGCCACTGCATGTTTGTTCACTGACAGGGTTTACACAGCCATTCTCATCCTGCAATTACAACTCAAAATATCTGCTGTCAAAAAGGCAGGTTAGGAGTTTTTTTTCTCCACCCTTTTCTGGAAGTTAAATGCAAACCGAGGTGAGTTTGTCCCTTAACATCAACTACAACACAACTACTTAATTCAAAGTTTAGGCAGGAGAAGTCTTGAATTAGGCTTTCTGAAACCTCCAGGTACTCTGTCGCTGACACTGTCCTGTGACCGGTCCCTCCTTTAGACTCTGTGTTCATTTAACTCTGTTTTGAATTTGACATGTGGACACTTGACTCACGTACACCGGAGTACTCATCAGTGGCTTTTTAATTCTAGCATCGTATTGCACAGTTGTGTGAGTGCCTCTGTATGCTGACTCGCATTCAGTGTGAACGTCACTTTTTCGTGTAGTGTGTGTGTGTATGTGTGGTTAGAGGGTGTGTGTGTGTGTGTGACCATTTATATTTTCATAAAACTATGCATCCTAGAATGTGACATTTTTGTGAAAGTATGTGTGCCATTTTAAATATTTAACTTTTTTTGTTTACATTAACAATATATTTAAGTTTTTATTTGTCACTACCTATAAAGTGATGCTGTATGTATATTATTATATGTGTGTGTATAAATGCAGATTTTGATATTTGATGAGCCAGTAGGCTTTCGGGGCACATGTACAGTACATGTATATATGATATGTGTGAGATGGAAAAGTAATCATGAATCTAACGTAACTTTCTTTCCTCAGTATCAAACTTCTCGTCTTCTTGTATTTTCACTCAGTTTCTGCTTCTAGATCATATCGTACATTAAGTAGATCAGTGCTGCAGTTCCTTGCTGGTCATTTACGATCGTGAGTGATAAGTCAGCATCTTCTAAGCCTATAAGCAACAATGTCTAATGTAAAGGTTGTAAGATATATTACATGCTTTAGAGGTCAGATGCACTATTTCACTAATCTTGTACTGGCAACTTTTCACAGTCGATATCTTAGAGAAGATTTGTTTTTCTTATAAATTGGCTTTACATACCTAACTCTTTACTGTTGCAGATATTATTGTATAGTCAAACGTGCATACTTGAGTACAACAATGATGTATTTTGTTTGTATGTATCAGAATTACTTTAAAACTTGGGGACTGTATGAAAAGAGTCAGGGTTCGATCTCTTTTTCTTTTCGGCTATTTCTGTGACAACAATTAAATGCAACACTGGCACTTGCCCTTCAGGAGACACAGGCTGAAAATGTTCTACATGATGTTGATATTTAAGTGATGTTGCATCTCGCCCATCTTTATGACAGCCGGCCATTCGTAACAACAAATTTATTTTCCTTCTGACGTAGTCGGAGAACACGTCGACATTTTTTTTAAGAAGGCAGGGAAGGGTCTTTTTCTCCTCCCAGATTATATTTTATTCCATTCTTTCCTTGTGAGATTTATTGTAGTAAATATGTGTGGCATGAGTCATAAAGGAATGTCTCTGTATTAAGGCATCAAATGATTTAAATTTTTTTTTCAGAAATAAGGAATGGCTTGAATATTTCCAATATTTTATTTCCAGGTATTGGAGGAAGGGTGGAAGGAAGTCTTGTAAGACTCAAACCCCTCTCCCCATCTCAATCACTTTCATACGGTCCCTAAAGTGAAGGGCATTCATTCGGTTGTACGTCTCAAATGTCATGAATGTGACAATCTGTCAAAGCCTGATTTAATTCCCAGTACGATTAACACTTTCATATCTGTTTCTGTTGAGGTCTGTAGTAACTTTGAGTGTGCCCTTTTAAGTCTTTTCCAGTAAAGTCTTGTGATGTGCACTAAAGATAAATGAACTGTTATTGAGATACTTGGTAGATATGATTAGAGTCTTAAGCCACCTTTCGTGGATGAAGCTAACAGCTGATGTTCTCTCGTGGCTCTTTGTGTATCTGTGTGCAGTACGAGTGCAATAACAAAGAATGCGACGTTGTGAGTTTCCAATATTTTTTCATGCGCAAGCACAAATCTGTGCATGTGTGAATGACTGTATACGAACATAATGTGATATATTTTTCTTCACTGCCATGCATACTGGTGTTTGTATATAAATAAACACACACCCCACCCAGCGGCTCACATCTTTAGACTACAAACACGCTGAAACAGGTTTGGTTTGAAATGCTTTAATTTGAGACATCACTGAAGCCAGAGCAGTCCAGCATAATCAGGAGGGTTGTGTCCCCCTCCAAATCTTTTAAGTGCCAGATGCAGGTTCATCATTCTATCATTTTATTTACAGAAAATACACAATATATTTACAATATCTTCTCAAAAAGTGTCTATTTTCATGACTAGTGATTATTTAAATTAGCCTGTTTCTACATAGCAACAGTTAAGCAACAAAAAAAAATCTGAAATTCTCAGCCTGGCGTGGAGGCAGCTGTACAGTTCATATTTGCTTATACAGAACTTGAATCATTCAAATAACATAAGGGTAAAGAGTTAAACCGGCACACACAGCACAATAGTGAGTGGTCCCAAAAGAGTTTAGATTCTTGCATCTATCGGTTAAGATTACATTTGTTTTAAACACGGAAACAATGGCCTCATAAACAATGACACAAAGGAAAGCATCACCAATCTTTAGCAAATAATAAAAGCAGACGAGAGACAGTTTAAACATGGTGTGAACCACTGAGTCATGTTTGAAGAGAAGCTAGATTGTGGTTCAATTTTAGCTGAACTTCCTTCGCTATTTACCTTACGTACTGTACACTCACTCATCTGGTTTTTTTTATTTTTTTTATGTTTGTACATGCACAAACAGGCTCACCTAGCCACCCACACACACTCTCACACACACTCTCCAGAAATCCAATCAGCTGTGGCATCTGCACTGAGCCCCGTTTTGATAAGTCTTTGTCTCCAGACGCCACCCACTGCTGTAGTTATTTTTATTCTACCTCGAAACATTCAGCTGTGAGCATGTGCTCCCCTGCTCTGCGTTCTCAGCGGCTGTGCATCCCGAATATCAGAAAGCTGAAGAACACAGTGACTCCCACGAGGGAGATGGTCGCAGGGGCGGTGAAAAACTGCCTGTAGTTGATGCGGAAGTACCACACCACGGCCAGTATCACCACAAACACAGGCACCACCAGGCTGCTGGTGCTGATGGCCACACCGGCAGCCCTGAATCCTCCAGAGACCCCAGACCCGACTCCTGCACCGGGCCCAGGCTGAACCCCTTCCTCTGGGGGAGCCTCGTGCAGGGCCTGGGAGATGTGGCAGTGGATCACGCTGTTGTGTGTGATGTTTAGAGATAACAGAGTCCTCTTGGGATCCTGCAGCAACTGGCCTTGGTAGATCAGCTTTATTTGATGCTCCCGACCTGAGAAGTATTTACTGGGGAAGAGGAGAGCAGAGAAGAGAAAGAAGAAGAGGCATTGAAAGATTTATTGAGGGAATAGTAGAGCACTTTGGGTAATACAGTTACCGCCACTCCGTACGATAAATATGAAGCTACAGCCAGTTAGCTAAGCACAAAGACTGGAAGCGCGGGGGGGGTTGTACCTTTAAAGCTCACTAATTTAACATGTGACATCTTGTTTGTTAGATTTGACAAAAACCAAAGTGCAGAAACAGCATGTGGTTTTACAAGAGGGGTCCCCCGCTGCTGTTTTGGCAACCTCACAGCGACAACAAGCCTCCAGGCCAAGAAACAGTCCCACACGAAACCTCTCATAAAACAATGTGTTTAATAAAACATTTGGGGGTTTTTGTTTTTTAACTTTAACAAGCCATCAGTTGTTAATTAATAGACCCCTACAAGCTGCCCCCCCGTTCCCAGTCTTTATGTCAAGCCAAGCTAACTGACTACTGGCTCTAGCTTCATATTTACCGTACAGACATGAGAGTGGTATCGATCTTCACCACCAAACCTCTGGAAGACAGCAAAATAAACATATTTCCCAAAATGTAAATGGATTCATTTGAGTATCTATGCTGGGAGTCTGTTTGGGTGTGTGTTCTACCGACCTCTTCAGTCCTCCTACTGTATCCTGTGGTTCTACAACAGCTACCTCCTCTGTGTCGTTTAAAAACTTGAGGCGGACAGAGATGCTAGTGGTCGTAGTGGTGGGAGAGATGGCGCTGGACAACACCGGGATCTGCTTTATAATCTTTTTATCTTCCTCCTCCAGCTCTTCGTCATCCTCATCCTCCTCCTCCTCCTCAACGTCATCCTCCTCCTCATCTGAAGTATGTATTCCAACCTGCGGTTGCTTACTCTGTATGTCCAGCAGCAGATCTGTCCTGACCCCTTCGGCTCCCTCCCCCGTCCCCTCACCCTCTCCTCTCTCAGTCTCGCCGTCATCCGGCTTGTTCTCCTGCGACGGCGGAGGGGTCTGCTGTTCGGGAGCGTCGGCGCTGGGAGACCCTCCGCTGTAGCTGTCATGACCTCCCAGTCCGATCAGAGAGGCGTGAGCGCCCACAGTGAGGATGGTGCCCAGTATATGGTCTCCCCGGTCGGCCACATGGGTCGAGAGCCAAGCCACGATGAGGGCCAGGGCCAGGAGGAACACACCACCTGCTGCCGTTACCTCCTCCTCCATCCCATCCAACATGGTCAGTGCACACACTGCCATCTCTGTCCTCCAAACCTGAAGACAACATGGCACAAAAATTAGTCCAGTAAAGTTTGTTGACATAGCCCAAAATCATGAATTTGCCTCAAAGGGGGTTCACAATCCGAACCACAATGCAGCAACTTTAAGAAAGATATATCAGCTAACAACATGGTAGGGTTGGGAGATATAATGTTGTATACCATGATCAGAGATTGCATTACTGTATACCGCTGTGTCTATTATCTCTAGTTGTATGGCCATTGTAAGCAGGGCTGTTGCAAAAATGGGAATCAATCGATTTTCTGTAAATCAGTTCGTTGATTAATCACATATTACATATACACATAACTAGGAATGTGAAGATATACTGCGAGAGGGATAAATCAGGATGCAAATATGTGATGATTTAAATCAGTGAGATGGAAAATGAATCTGTGATTTAGGCTTCACTTTCATAAAGAAAAGAAAATATGGATTGTTTTTGGAAATTGTAGAGGAATAAATAAATCTTTTCCAGTCATAAGAAGATCTGACCCACACAACCCACTCATGGCCTACAGGATGACAGTACACCACTAGGATTACTGTTTTGGTTTTATGGAAGGAAATGCAATAAATTGGTCACAGACTGACAACAGTGATTAAGTTCAGATCAATCAGACTGACCCCCCTGCACATCAGGACAAAGCTACTTTACCCAGGACACAACCCCTCACTTACAAACACACTATAAGGAGGACAGTGTTTAACAAGGCTCGATAGCTACATAGAAAAAGAGAGCAAGTGTTTTTCCGAGCTATCACCATGTGGAAAAAGCCATCCAGCGTTGGTGTAGGGTGAATGTTAACTGAACATAAAGACCGTGCTGATCAACAGCTGTGTCTTGTAGCTGTGAAGCTATGTCCCAATAACCCAGCTGTTCACAGCCTTTATAGACTCAACTTTTTTTTTTTTTTTTTTTTTTTTTTGGTGTGTCTGTAAACGACACATTAGCTGTGGCGTAGCTTCACCTCCCGCTGCTGCTGCTAACTTTATACCGCTGTTGTGTCGCTGCTGTCGGCGAGTTAAGTTAGCTTGCGAGGCTAAGCCCCTCCTGCCTTGCTAGCTAGAAAAAAAAAAAACCCCGACCTTCGGATGTGTACGACTCGGTTTGTTTTCTGCCTCCAACACTTTTTTAAACTCACACGACCTCTTCCTTCCTCTTCCTCCTTCCTCTGAAAACGCCTTCACGAGCCTCCCACTACAAAAAAAACCAAACAAAACCCAAAACAAAAAACAAAACATCTCCGACGATCTTACCTGCCAGCTGTGAGACTCAGAGCATGTTTGAAGACGAGGGGCTCAGTGCTAGTTAGCAGCTGCTGCTTAACAACCACATAATAAACAACAGAGAGGCGACGTCGCCGCGTGACGTCATCACGCCACCACGGGTTCAGCGGGGGCGCTTGTTTTGAAAGTGGGTCACGCCCTGTTTCTCTCTCCCTCCCCTCCCCCCTCCCCTCCCCTCTTCCTGCTCCATGTTTGTGGTAGTGCTGGTGAGTTCAGGATCCATTTAAGACTATTGAGAAATGTGTTTTGGTGTTTCTGTCTGCACGCACAGTTTACAGCAGTCACAAAGGCGTGATGCGTTCATGGTGAAACAGCTTTGTTGGTGTAGAATTGGCACCCTACAGCGGTGCTTCCTAACCTTTTTCCCTAAAGGACCCCCTTATTTATCATTCATTAAACTGCTTGACCCTTGACACAGTGACATATATTATATATATTTCATATTATATTTAAAACTGTACAATGAACCTAAATAGTGAAGGTTGAGTAAAACAAGTGATTTTATTATGTATTATTTTATTATTTTTAACAAACTTACGAGGCTTATTTTCAGTGTTTTCTTTGTCCCTGACGCCTGGCTATTGTTCCATTATGTAATTAACTTTACTTTTCTTGGCAGAAGTGAACCAACTAAATGCTGAAATGTAGGCCTACTGTGTATTTATTTGAGTTTTCTAGCATGCTTTAAAATCAAGAAGGCCTTGCGGTCCCCCCATGAAGCTATTGTGGTGGTCCAGACCCCCAGTTTGGTTAACTACTACCCTGGAGGGCACTTTACCACATTTTTATCCATTGGACGGGCACCCTAGTCCTTTGCACCCTAGAGCATGCTTTCAACTGGTGGGGGATGACCAAACAGTGGGTCTCGTAGTGTGAGAACAACATTTTTTTAATTTAAAGTTTAGCTATCTGATATCGGATTATTTTGACAGAAATATGTCTGTTTAGTGAAAACAGCCGAACCCTAACCGTTCTGTAGGCCTTACTTATCCTCTGTGTAACAGAGTTATGCAATTATGGTGTTAATTTGATCCATATTCATAAGAATCAGCAGCACACAGTTATGATGTCCATTTATTGTTAATGTGTCCTGATATCCAGGAAGAAAATATGTGAATATATTATGTAAAAAAAAAAAAGATAATGTATATGTGTATTTACGAGCCATATGTCT